CGGTCGGCGGGAGCCGCGTCGGTCGACATGGCGGAGGGTGTTTGCGCTGACGATGGTGATGACGATGATGATGATGATGATGGGGTGGTGGGGGATGCCATGGTCGTGATGTGTGATGTGTGCTGTGTGCTGTGTGCTGTGTGCTGTGTGCTGTGATGTGTGATGTGTGATGTGTGATGTGTGATGTGTGCACGTTCTTGAGAGAACGGACGGACGAAAGAACGAAGGTGCTTTATGCTGCGGCTTTAAGCTGCGGCTTTGAAAGGCGTTTGTCAGTCTTGCCTTTCAATTGCAGCTTGCAACTTGCGGGCTCCGTGCCGTCGCCGCTGGGGGTGCAGTGCAGTGCAGGCTGGAACTATGTACTCACATGCAATGCGCGATAGGATTGATGCAGGCCGGCTGGAGATGGCGGGATGTGGCGGTGGGGGCTGGGGACGGTGATGGTGATGAGGACGACTGCTATGGAGTAATAGTAGTCGTTGTATAGACGATGGTCGCAGGAGTAGTAGTAGCAGTAGTCGTATAGACGATGGCAGTAGGAGTAGTCGTACAGACGATGGTAGTGGGAGGAGGAGTAGTCCCCGGCGATGAGAGCGCGGGTCGGTGGTGTGGAGGAATTAAGTTGGAGAAGAGCGAGCTGGGAGCTCTCTTATGTATGAGCGAACGAAGAGAGCTCGAGCGCTCGCGGGCAGTGACAGTGCTGTCACACACAGGCCAGGCGCCCGGGAACACTGTACGGTACAGCCCCATCCCATCCCCGCCCGAACCGAGCTGCTGCTGCTGCCTGTAGACTGCCGGACTGCTACCGATTCGATGAGGCTGATTGAATGAATTTACGAGTAATCCCCGCATGGCGATGAATCCCAGCACGCGGAACGCCCTGGATGACTCGGCCGGATTGGCAAGCGTTCGGTTGAGTCAGACGAGGGAGGGAGGAAGGCTCTCCAGACTACACTAGCATGATCGTGGCTGCCCGGAGTCGAGCTGCGGACTCCATGAGTCCAGTCGGGATGATGCAAGCGGGGCGAGATTCCGTGGTTTTTCTGTGCGCGCAAAGAGACAGTTCAATGCAGCCTCACGCCCGTGCCCGCTTGCAGACTTGCAGTCGGTCGGGGAGTCTCACGTAGCGCTGCGGACTCCAGAGCGGCCACTGTCCACTGTTGGGCCACGGCCACAGCAGCGCGAGGACGGGCTGCGCGGTGGAGAATATGAAGAAGACACATACGGTACTCTGCTATGGACTACAGGACGAGAGAAAAGCACACGCGTCCGTTGCATCTACGAGCGCATGCACAGCCGTCTTCACGCGTTGTCGTTGCCGCTACGATTCGTCTCTCCCGCTGCAACCGTCCGCCCTGGCCTGTGGGGGAAAGTCCACGCGAGATCTGCCGAGCTCGCGCTGTCTCTCTGTGTCGAGCAACTAACCACACAGAGTAAGTACGGGCTTGCAATTCAGCCCTGCCATCTATGCGGATCGATTGCAGCCTTGCACTTGCAGGGGGGGTGGAATCTTCCGGTGGCCAGGGGAGTCATACTCTGTGTACGCGGGGGGGCTGTGTGTGGCTGTGTCCACCCGGCGCCCGCTACCGTATCGGCGTATCCTAGGCATCCACCGGTCTGCACACTCTAATCGATGTTGGGATCCGGATAGATGGAATACGGTACGGTAGCTGGTAGGCAGGCAGGTACAGGTACAGCGCACACGACCGCACACCGCCCGTTAGTTATTCCCGCAGCGTTTGCTCGGTGGGAGTGGAGCATTCCGGAGATACATGTGTACATGGGCAGCTACAACGGCCTTCTCGATGCAACCGGTGAATTGGTGGTGGTGATTCATGTTGCATTCAACTTGCATCATGTCTACATACCTCCCACCACTCACTCCAGTGCAGTAGAGAATCGCACTCCAGGTCTCCTATCGCTAGTTGGTTGTCTGGATGGTTGCCTACCTACCGGTACTTCGCGCCAATCGGTGGAATGGGCCGAAGAAGGAAGACCCGCTGAGTCACCGTACAACCGGTCAAGAAGAACCACTGCACCAGTGACTCGGAAGTTAGTGAGCCATCTCCAATCGAGTCGTTAACTAACAGTTATTCTCGCAACTCGCTCGTGTCGTCGGAGAGTCCGAGGTCGGAGTATCGCTGGCAGTCTAGACTCGCGACTCCGGCGACGTCGGGCCAGTGCTCACTCTCCACTCTCCAGGATCGCTAGACGAGATAACTACCGTAGGGCTGCAGGTGTCTCACAGGGCGGATTTTACGTATCACATCTGATCTTACCCAGTCTCGTTAACTAAGGTTCTCTCGTGAGTCGTGGCGCCGTTGCGGTAGTTCCGGTGGATACGCTGGGTATGGTACGGTGGTTACCGCCCTGTCCTCCTCCTGCTGCCGGACGTGACAATGTGACACATGCACTCACCGGTGAGCGATCTAGAGTCCGCGCCGAAGCGCACAATCCGTCACTCCTTTACACTACAGTTACAGCGAGCAGTTTTACTACATATACAGCTCGATGCCATTCTGTAGAGGATGTCGGATGAGATAGGTACTAGTAACACCGGGTCTGCTGCTGCATAACTGGAAACTGGAAACCCGCGATATGGGAAGCTCGGAATAACCAATCGATCGGTACCCGTTTAATTCAGCCTTTCAGACTTTCAGGAACCGGTATGTAAGTAGGTTTTACCGCATAGGTGACTGTAGTGACGGAACACATCAGCACCATCGGGATGCATCACACCAGTGACCAGTACTCCGTGGTCGAACCAGTTTCACGCGTGAAACATTGTGCGGTGGGGGGGGCCAGTCAGGACTCGTCACTCGTAGCGTCCAGCCATACCGTATGTTGAGAATATGAGTGTGAGTGTGATATTATTCAGTTGCTTGAATCATTCGCAGAACACAGCAGATGACCAGCTAAACATACCAGACAGAGAATAAACAGGATTCTCGAGGTGCCCTCAAGGCGCCGTCGAAGAGGCGCAAAACTTGGCGCATATGACCAATATGACAAATGTGCAACATCTTGGACGAGTGACAACGGTGGCTTTTCAGCCAGAACGAGAATCGCAACATACCGTACCTCAAAGCCCGTGTTTCTACCGCTAGGTGCAATGACGGCTTGAATCCAACAACCGATCATCTTGCGTGTGAAGCGCTCGGATAGGTTGTCTGCTCGGTCCTCAATTTCTAATATGTAAGCCTGTACAAGTGCCGGAAAGGCCTGAGTCGCTGAGTCGCTGCTGGCCAAGTCCGTGTTGTAACATGTGGCGAGACGTAACTGATATGAGGGCCAGTTGACGTAGTCCTGGAAGGGAAATGGCGAAAATGAAGAATGATGGAGAAGTTGAGGTTCTATTCAACGTCAAAGCGCCATCTTATGGCTCTCCTCTGCTACCCTCAACTGTCAAATATACTGATATACACCGTCTGGATTAAGTCCTCGCCGAAAGGCCCAAGGGGGCTCTCGTCACCCCACCAAAAATATGCGGCGCCGAATGATCGGCGGTGGAGCACCGCGAGCGGCGGAGGATGGCAGAACCTAGATGTGCATTCAGCATCAAGAGCCTAGTTTCATCAGTATCTAAGTTTTCACTGTCCATCTAACATACTTTACTTTCCATATTATCAATCTATTCACATTTCGCATCAACAAAATAGGTATGTAGGGTCGCAGTCGGCTCCCGTGAGAATGAAATCCCGCAGTAAATCACTGAAGGTAAGAACGCCTAGGCATGTGAAGAATTTACGGACGAAGGGACATGCGACGAGTAACTCACGGTAGGTAGTACGTACAAAGGTATTTAGAAATGGACGAAATGAAACAAAAAAGCCATTGACTCCAAATGCCTCATTCAAGCCTGCAATTCTTTTTCTACTTTACTCGTAGTCTCGTATACATCATCGTTTCTAAAGGTCGAAGCGATCGATCCCTCATCTTCTGGTTTTCATCAGAGCCAACTTCGTGCTCGATAGCGGAATCGAGTAGTCCAGCTGTCCTCAGCACCTGTACACGAGCGAGATGGTAGGCTTCCTCTCTCCTCATGTATTCGTCGCGAGCGAGATGGTGGGCTTCCTCTCTCCTCCATTGTTCGCGAACGAGACGAGACGGCGGGCAACCAAATTCCCGCCCCCTCGGTGCCGATCCCCGGGCCTTCGCGCCGCTACGGGGGTAGCAGGTACACCTGCGTCCCATTGCGGCACGGAGGGAAAGCGGGGATACCCGCTGACTTCACCAAAGCCTAGGAGGTCGAAAGCCTCGGCTCACTGCGCCGCGCCGCCGCCTTGGGGGTGGCAGGTACACCTGCGTCCCATTAGCGGCGGCGCGGCGTAGTTGAGCGACAGCGAAGTTGCCGACCCCGAGATGGGGCGCACGCCACAGAATCCACTCGGTGTGGGCCTGCCGTTCAGCGGATTCGAGCGGCGCTTGCTGTCGTAAAGCTTTTGCCTGAGTTGCTGCACGCTGCTGGATGGTGGCGCTGGATGGCCCACGGCAGAACTGGCAGAAACAGAGTTGTCCTGGTTGGCAGCATAAACAGTCTGCTGCTGTTTTGCAAGCTTGTGAGACTTGGTGATAACAGTGTTCTTCACCTCAACGAGGAGAACTGCATCTTGAGCCACGCGAGCCTGTTCTTCAAGGAGCTTCTTTGTTAAGGCATCAACCATTGCCTCTCGGCGCTTCCAGTAGATGATGTTTTCATCAATCTTCTTTGAGTACTTGCCCAAGTATTCAAGCGACAGCCCGGCCAGACCTATGGCACTGAGTGTTCCCTGCGGGATAGCTCTGCGCGTGATGTCCTCCCAGCCCATTTCGAACTGAGCGACAGCAGCGACAGCGACAAGGTCGGCCTCGGCTTCCTCGTCACAGATGGCACGAGCATGCTCCAGCATCTCATCGGTGATAAGAACGTCCCCGGGCGTTTCGGGGTCTGCGCTTGGACCAATGTCCTGGTTGTAATCGACGACGGGTTTCTGGAACCCATTGCTGGATTGTGGTGTTTGCTGGCGCGGCCGCGCGACGGAAGCTCCAACTTGGTAACTACCAGGAGCACTGGGCTCCTCAGCAGCAGTTGCATCCTCTGGAGCCTCAACGGCTCCTGCCGGGTTCGTCCGGCGTCTTCCCCTCAGCCGGCGCATCCACGTGCGTTCCGGCTGGTGTTGTGACCTCGATCCTCGGGATCGCTATCACCCCCTCCTCCTCCTCCGACCACTACTCAACAGTTCCTAGTGGAGCTGTTGGAGCAAGTGGACCATGGTCCAATGTCTGGGGGCGAGAACCCCTCCGCCCCAGCTGTTGGGTTGCTGCGCTGGCATTCGTGGCCAGCCACAGCCTGGGGAGTTGCAGCTGGCGTCGCAGTCAAGGTACGACGCCGGAATCTGCAACTCCCCACCACCACCACCACCACCATCGATGACTAATCGTATACTCAGCGTCCACGGCTAGAGTTGCCGACACAGTACTGCACTGGAACCTGCAACTCCCCACCACGACCACTACCACCACCACCACTACCGCCAGCAATGGTCACTGGTATCCTCGGGAGTCTTCATCTCCGCGGAAGTCACAGCTGGAATTGCCGGCGCAGTACCACACCAGAATCCAAAACTCCCCACCATCACCAGCGGTGGCTCACTACATCCTTTGGAGTCTCCGTCTCCTCGGAAGTCTTGGTCTCGCCAGTGAGGTGCGACTCCTCCTCCGTAGGAGCCTCCACACCCGCGCCGTCGAATGAACTTGACCCATTTTTTGGCCCGAAGCCGAGGGAAATAATTCTATCTTCGGCTCGCACATCTCCAACTTCGATTACTGTCATCTAGTTAGCTTTGGAACTGGGATGATGGATCCGAGGGGTAGGAAGGTTAATACCGTCACTAATGAATCTTTCAAGGTCGAATCCTTCAGGCCTGCTGAGGGTTGAAAAAGTGAATTGTATTGTTTCGTGTTGTGTTGAAAGTAGGAAGTAGAGAAAGGTGATGTTGTGTTGAAAGTGGAGAGAGGGAACGGGTGGAAGGGGTAGAAGTAGGTGGTGTTGTGGGTGTGAGATGTCTCGGCATTCACTCAGCTGACAACCCTCACTTAAGCTAACGCAGTTAGCCGGATTACCCTAATCTAATCTACATAATCAAGGAGATTTCATTCATAGTATCTCACTCCGGCAGCCCAGTTGAGATCCCCGCAACGCTTTCTCGCAAACATGTCGATGGGCAGGGGAAGTGGGGGGGCCGCATCGGACTGGTCAGTACCGGGGGCTTTCACCTCGACTGGCCAGAGCGGGAAGGAAAAGGAGTTCTTTGGTTCGCCATAGTCTAGATAGGCTGCATGCGAAATAAACTGAAGATCTCTTTCGGAAAAGTATCATGAGGTTCGGAAGAAGACGGGGAAGTGTAAAGGCTGCTTCAAAATCCGGGGCTTGCTCGCAGACGAGAAATGCAGCCAGGCTATCCTAGACTTACTCTCATACTACGTAGCATTCTGATTGTTATCGCCAGCCAGTTTTACACAGTTGACTGATGCATCATCCACCTGCTCCATGGTTTTACTAGCCCATATACTGTACGCACGCCTCGGCGCAAGGCTTGAAGCTACATAATGCCAGAGAAGCGAGCGCAGGGACTTATCGCCGACTCGCCGCCCGTAGCAATTTACTGTCAACTGAGAAAAGCGAGTGATGGTGCGTGATGCAGAGGCTCGCAGATTCATAACGAAGAGGCTAGTAGCTAAGTACGGACATGACTACATATAAAACAAGTGGGGTGTAGGAAATGTGCTACGGATCGAAAGGACTGCGTATATGCACATGTTCACCGTGATAGCGGGGATACTGAGGCTGAAGTCCCAGACGTACAACTACATAACACTCAAACGGTCATACTCGAACCATAGCTGTATACAGCAGCCGGAGATCAATATTTCGGCGCTTAAGTTTAAGCTAGGACACCTAACCCGCTGTTATCCGTGAGAGGGGTGGAAGGGGCAAGGTTGCATCATGTACTCTACTTCCACCTAACTACCTACTGCCCTCCGCAGTTGCTCACGGAAGACAGACACACACCCACCCACCCACCCAGACAATCCTATCCGCCCTTGGCCCTGGAAAATCCTCTCTCATATGCGGCTTTCCCATCGGGAGCTTATCGCGGATCTTCGCATCAGGCACCGATCAGTCAACGTCGCGGCGGGGGTGGGTCTCACCCCCGACGACCGGCTGCTCCTGCTCCTGCTCGTAGAGCTGATTCACAAGTCCACGGCGAACAAGTCGCACGTGAGTCGTGCTCACCCAAAGTTCGAGTACACCTCCGTCTGACGCGCGGTACCAGGACTCGAGGCGCGGATGCTGTGGCCAGCCTGGATGCGGGCGGGCGGGTGCCGCGGGGTATCCAACGGCCGCGCAGCCTGCAGCCTGCAGCCTGCGGGACGGCGCGTACGAGATAGTGACGGCTGTGTGGAAGAGCTCCATAGGCGGGCGGCTGCTTACCAGCGGCGGAGTCCGGACACGACAGCGGGCGGCGTCAGAGTCAACATCCGCCGGAATAACGAGACAAGACGGTCTGAGTTTCCGACGATCTATGGGCGGACGCCGGCGTTTATTGCGCTAGCCCGACGCCGTCGATCTCCAATGCGGGACGTTGTGGAGACTTTGGATGGTCAGCGTGGGCGATGAGTTGCAGAGCATGTCGGAATACAATACCACAAGGTACCGTATCCGCTGTGTATGTCACACCCTCGAGGCGTGAGTTCTCTGGCATAACCGGCGAATAGCGAACGGCCAGAACTAATTCATAGGATACTCTGTCGACAGTCGAGCACAATGCGGAGAAACATCCTGTCATGGTAAGGCTTGCACCTCAGCCCCGAGTCCCCGACCGCTTCGAGACGATTCTGATGGAACTTTGGGGGTCGCGACGTTGTATGTTTTACAGAACGAGGACGAGAAGGAGGAGTAGTGGAAGTGGACTTGTGTGTCCGTTAGCTACGCGGCGAAATCTGCCAGCCTGACCGTTTCCCCTCGACCGTTGAAGCGATGAATTCTCCAGCCGAGTACCATAACCCCCAAGGTGCCAGTCCATCATACGAGTGGAACCACAGATGGACCACGTTCACCAGGCGAAGCCCGAAATCCGTCCCCCTCCAGCGTGGAGACGGCTCGTCAGCGACCGCCCATGCGAGCGACGAAAAAGTCCGGCTCTCCCTAGCAACGCCGCTTGCGTCCCCCTGGTCGTATCTGGCTAGAGTAGCCGGTGGTCATGCAGGACGGGCCGATACCCGACACCCCACCCGACGACCCCCCACGGAAACTCGACCCAGCCGATTCCACTAGAGTTTGTAGGCGTCGGCTTCGGGATGGCTGTAGAGTAGCCGTTCGGACTACCGGACTACCGGAGCCAGGGGTGGAGGGCGTGCTGACGGGGCCGTGACTCCGTAGGAGGCCGGGAAATTGCATGGCCGCGGGCCGGTAAGCGCTAACTGGCACTAGAGTAAGAGAGAGAGGGAGAGAGCCGAACGGCGTGTCATGGGGTGAGTGATAGACATGCATTTCTTCCACATTCTATCTACTCCAAGACGAAAGAAATCAAACAGCTACGAGTATGTACACGATGCACAAAAAGAGACAAGACACAGACGGAAAAGCAAGAAACTCCCAGGCAACTACTCCTCCTCGGGCCACAGGTTGAAGCCGAAAGTATCCTTCATATTGACGAAGCGCGTGTGTCTTCCCTCAGCGACGGCATTGACCGCCTGGAAGTCGTCCTCGCTCAATTCGAAGCCCTCAAAGTTACTCCTGATCCTGCTCGGGGTTGCGCTCTTAGGCAGCACGGGATAACCGCGCTTGATGCCCCAAGCGATGAGGACCTGCGCCAGCGTATGTCCCGTCCTCCGCGCGACCTCGTTCAGCGTGGCGTTCTCGGACACCCTCTCGCCGGTGGTGGGGACCTGGTTCTGCGAGCCCAGCGGCGAGTACGCGACGAGCAGGATGTTCTTCGACTTGGCGAAGTCGAGGAGCTCCTGGTTCGGGAGGAAGGGGTGGATCTCGACCTGGTTGGCGGCGGGCGGGATGGACGCGAACGAGAGCAGCTGCTCGAGCCGCGGGATAGAGAAGTTGCTCACTCCGATCGCCCGCGCTTTGCCGCTGCGGTACAGGTCTTCCATCGCTCGCCAGGTTCGCTCCGGGTTGTTGGTTAGGTCGTGCTTGATGATGTACTGTGAGAAGCGTCAGTGGGAGGTTCCGTCATTCGCTTCCAGAGAGCATGTTGGCACGGGAGGACATGAAGCGTACTTTTCCATCCGGGCCGAGCTTGGGCTGGTAGTCGTCTGTCCTCTCGGCAGCAATGGGCCAGTGCAGCAGGAAGAGGTCAACATAGTCGAGCTTGAGCTTTCGCAGTGAGTCTTCCATCGACCACTTGACTACGTCATCACCATTCGTATCAGCACTGTCTTCTTCTTCTTCACCACAGAGAAATCCGGAGCGAGAAGTGAAAAGAAAAAAAGGAAGAGAAAAGCTCACCCTCTTCCGGCTCGTGGAGGTGGTTCCAAACTTTGGTGCAGATAAAGAGGTCCTCGCGCTTCACCTTTCCTCCCTGCTCCTTCAAGAAGTCCGCAATGGCTTCACCGATCTCTTCTTCGTTCAAGTAGAACCACGCACAGTCGAGGTGTCTGTTTTCGCCCTTCGAGTCAGCAATTGGTCGCGTGCAATCGAGGGACTTGTCATGTCAGGATCTTGCAAAAAACACACTTACCGATAACCAGCTTCCAGAGCACATTTTGTGGACTTGTAGGACTCCCCTTTGGCGCCTTCATTGGCGAAGGTTCCAAATCCGACGGCAGGAATCTCGGTTCCCGTGTTCAGCTTGAATGTTTTTCCCAAAGACATGATTGCGGTTGGATCGGTACGGTAAGGGTGGGGTGGGGGAAGGTGATGAGGTGATTCGGAAGACGGTGACGAGGATGATGATAACGAAGCAGGAACCGTGCAAGGCGGTGGTGAAGATGATGATAACGAAGCAGGAACTGTGCAGGACTGTATCTGTCGTGATGGAGGGCGGATTGAATCGCTTTGAGCAGGAGAGAAGCGGAATCCAATGCGGGTTATCCTTCGGTGGTCTTTTACATCTCCCAAGAATGCGCTCGATCGAAGCCAGCCAGCCCCGTTCGACGTGCATGTACGCTTGCCAGAGCGTAGCTTTCCTCCCTTGCGTTGGCCTCGAAGGTTTTCCCTTCGGATGTTCCCTATGCTGTCGACACTGTGTCTGCGGCCGCGCGAGGAGGCGACGATGACGCAGATGTTCGCGGTGGTGCATTAGTCCATAACCGTAGCGTGCTGATATGTGCGGCAACTTTTGCGTCAGCATTCGAAACGAGGACCCTGATCCGAAAGTCTGCCGATTTCTCTTTTTCGACGCTGTGGACACTGGAATCCGCCGCCGCCGCCGCCGCCGACCCGCGAGGTATGTAGATAGATGGCTATCTTTCTTCTCGAGGCGGTTATCTACATTAATCTACATTGTTTTCCGCCGTCAAGGTTTGCTCGATGCTCGCGAGGGAGGCCTTCGATATCACGCGTGGGACTGCCGTGCCAGGCGAACAGAGAGATGATCAGTCAGATCATCACTATCATGATCCTGGGGGTTTCCGTCGCTGCTGGGTACCCACTACCAGGGGGAGTTGAGAGTGGAGATTCTCGCTGCAGGTACTCACTCTATTGTACCCACCTATCCGCGTCGTACAGCATATTTGTTATTTTATTCTTCGCGATCACGACTGGGCGATCGCCTCGGATCGCAGGGTGCACTCTATGTGGGCACTTTGTATGTGCATGCCATGTACCATGGAGTACTCCCTACTCCATCTTCATCGCCCGTTGAAACGATGCAATGTTCGCTGCGCGCCGCAGTGAAGGATCGAAGAAGGGGGGTTGGTTGGAATCCACCGATCGAGCGCAGCAGAATGGTTTGTACCAAACACACAGTACTCTGCATACCGGCACCTACTCTACTCCACTCGACTCCACTCCACTTCCCCTGACGATGATGATGGCACTGACTGCGCTCCATCAATATTGGTACCACAAGCTACATTATGTACCGGCACATACGGGCACCGGCTACGACAGCGAGTCAGCTTCCTTGTGCCCGAAGAGTCGTAGGGCGGGCCGGGCGGCGATGAAAACTCCGCCTAGCCGCACCGTCCGTGCATAAGGATGACGCAAAGCGTGTCAGAGAATTATCCGCTACGGGCCGTAGGATCGACAGACCGACATGGGCGTTTTCCCTGCGTTCCGTGACAGCTCAACCACATCCCAACCTCCGCCGGCGCACTTGGAGGGAAGGGGACAGCATGGGTCCATGGGATAACGGCTTTCGGCACGTTAGCCGCCAATCGTCCACACACCACCGCACCACCATACAGACCGCTGCACCACACGAACACACGCCGCCGACGCCGACGCCGCCCGCCGCTGCTGCTGCCTCTACCTCTGGCTGCACTCGGTCGTCATCGCTATCCATGTGGGCCCAACGCCCGAGAGCGTCTGTCCGTTTGCATCGGCCACTGGCGCATCCCACGCTCAGGATGGCTCGTTACCAGGAAGGGCGATATTCGGGAGATCCATGGGCATGTACATACGGTACCTAGGGACTCTGCCTACTCCTGCATGGCGCCCGGCGGCCGGCTTCTCTGACTTGGCGATGAGCCTTTCACCGCTCGCTCGCAACGGCTTCCCTGAACAGAGTTTTCTCTGTGGCCTTCCGCCGAGTTCGAAATTCGAATCCTCACCCACCACCATCATCAGCCGCATCCGAGACAATTCCCTCAGGTTCGGGATCTCCACTCGGCCAAGCTACCGGCAGGCCAAGTACGGCCAAGTGCTCAGTCCACCCCCCTTCGATGGCCTCTAAACCCACCCCAGCCAGCGCAGACCCTGAGTTTCCTGGGATCGCCGTCTCGAACATCCACAAGTGCGAGCCAAATCCTCAGATCCTGAGCGGGCTGCTCCAACCTGCGCGAGGGGACGTATTGGGAAAAGGGCTCCAGCTACTGTAGCCGAATTTACGAGAATCCACACACTTTTCTGCGGCCGAACTGTACATTTGGTCCCGCTTGAGGTGGTCGTGGTCGTGGCCATGGGTCGATGGTATGACCGTGCAGACTTCAAACCTTCGAAACAGACACAAGCTCGGTGGTCTAGCTGCGTCAACAACCTTGTGGGGCCTCATTTGTGCCCCATATCTGAATGAACAAGAAAAAAGAGTCCCGAGGTTTCCCGAGCCGACGGGTTCGAACGACGATCACAAGAACTGTGGGAATGAAGGGTCTCGTGTTCTGCGCCAAGCTGCCACCGGCTCGTCTCTAGCTGTACCAACCGCCGCCTGAGCCACGCTTGCGTGCATGGTTGACTGACTCTTTACGTCATCCAGCTGCTTCTGCTCTGTTGCTGTGAACGTACCAGATGGACAGACTGTCGAACAAGCGTCCGTTTCCGAACGAACGTTATATACCTCCCCTTCCCCCCCTCATTCAGTAACTATTCCTCAGCTTGCCTTAAATCCTACCTACCTACTACCCATTCGCACTCTTAAAACTCACCTCCTTGTATTACCTCTTCACCCTACACAACCTCCACATAACTTCTTTAATCATGTCTCCCTCCGCGGACGAAGTTTCTGCCACCTTCACCAAGAACGCCAATGGCAACGGTGAAGATGTTGCCACATCTAACTCTGTACCGTGAGTTACTCTTTGATTCGATATACCCCCTCGAGTTTTCAATTGACTGACAGAGCATCCAGACAAATGCACACCGACATTTCCCGGTCAGACGACGACCCACCATCTCCGATCGAGGTGCCGGCCACCCGACTGGCTTTGGCGGAGGTGGAGCGTCTGATGCACCCTCTCAGCATCCACCCGTCGCAGCGTGAGCGACGGGCGTCGCGAAACTCCTTTGGTGCTTCGCTCCCGATTCCCCGAGTACCCCGGCGGTCGGTTCTCCAGATGCGCCCTGGAATGCCCGATTCCATCCCCTCGTTCGATATTCTGGCGAGGAAGGCGCAGGATATGGCGCAGCAGAAGGTCGCCAACGCTAAGAACATGGCGTTCGCTTTCGATATCGACGGCGTGCTCGTTCATGGTGATCGGTTGATTCCTGAGGGACAGAAGGCGCTCGAGATCCTGAACGGTGATAACGAGTTGGGTATCAAGGTATGTACATCCAGCACCACAACCACCGGTTTGTCGTGGCTGACTTGATTGCGTGCTAGATCCCGCACATCTTCCTGACCAACGGCTCTGGAAAGCCCGAAGCCGAAAGATGCGCCCAGCTCTCCAAGATTCTCGGCTCGCCCGTGTCGACGAAGCAGTTCATCCAGGCGCACACGCCCATGTCCGCCCTGGCGCAATACTACAACACCGTCCTGGTCGTCGGCGGAGAGGGCTACCGCTGCCGCGAGATCGCCGAGCTGTACGGCTTCAAGGACGTCGTCGTCCCCAACGACATCGTGGCCTGGGACGAGACGATCGCGCCATACCGGGTCTTCGGCCCTTGGGAGCGCGCGTCCGCCCGTCCCCGCGACTTCGAAAACATCAAGATCGAAGCGATCCTCGTCTTCTCGGACAGCCGCGACTACGCCACTGACTACCAGATCATCATGGACCTGCTGCGGTCCGACGGCGGGCGCCTACACACCCAGGCCAAGAACCCGACCAAACAATCGCTGCCGATCTACTTCTCGCAGGGCGACTTCCTGTGCCCGACGGAGCACCCAATCCCGCGCATGTCGCAGGGGACGTTCCGCGTCGGCCTCGAGGCCATGTACAAAGCCATGACGGGCATCGAGTTGGAGCGCACCATCTACGGCAAGCCCGAGATCGCAACCTACACCTACGCAGACGAGGTCCTCTCCTCGTGGATGGAGGATATCCACTCCGAAAACGTCCTGCCGAAGAATGTGTACATGATCGGCGACAACCCGCAGTCGGACATCGTCGGCGGTAATGCCTACGGCTGGAACACGTGCCTCGTCCGCACCGGTGTCCACACCGGCGACGAGAACGATAAGGAGAACCCCGCGAGCATGGGGCTGTTTGAGAATGTCCTCCATGCCGTCGTCACTTGCATGCAGAGAGAACTCGGCCATGACTTTAAGTTCGAGTTCGACCTGAAGGCGCATAACCCCACCCTGCTGGACGCGCCTGTCTCCGCTATCGAAGTATAGTCCGCCCGCTACCGCCTCGTGATACCGCCGTTTGTCGCTTGTCTTTGATTGAGGGGATTGATTTGGGGGATGGGGGATGGGTTGGAGTGGGGGGGTGGAGCCCCTCCACCTACTACTACTACTACTGGCTGGTATTTGATCTTTGGGTCTGATTATTCACATTTTGGGAGTTCTATAGCCGCGGTTACTCGCTCGAACGTTTCGTTTATCTTTTTTCTTCTGTGTTTTTCTTCTGGGTTCGGTCTGTTAGATTTCTGCTTGCTCGCGCGCTGTTTTGGATCTGGTTTCGGATTAGGATTTCCTTTTATACTTAGATACTTGGTACGTCGTCGGTCGATAGAGAATCGGAGAATGGCGATGTTGCCAACCAATTGTTGATTTCGTGAAGCGGTGATTTGAATGATGTCTCGACTTGAACGGGATGATGCGCGAGTGGGACGTGAATGGTCACGTGAACAGACGCACATATTGGAAGTGTCTCGACCTCCCGCAGGCTGCAGCATCAAGCTCCGGCCACATATGCATCCTTTACATAGACCCATTGAAACCGGGCTCTTGGAAGTTGACACCTTTCGATGTAACTGGTGGGGCCGCAGACACGGTACGCAATCGCAAACGACATGTGTCCACTTCGAAGTCTAACTGTAGAGTACTCGGGTACTGACAAGCTTCCTGACGAAACCAAACCAAACCTTCCTTGAGGTTCCCTCTCCATGCCTAGATCATGGCTAGGATGGTTCAGATCACGTGCCAGTCGGACTAATCTCCACGCCACACCACATGCTGTGGCTAGCCAGTGGTCGGTGGATCCAGATCGTCCCATTCCTGAATGCGCCCCAACAAACAGAAACTCTCCAACCTCCGGATCATAATGTCTACCGATCCAACGGAGTACATACGACGCCCCACTTTCCAAGAAGTTCCAATACCCAGGAGCATCTTTTTTGTCATATTAACTTCGCTTGAGATCGGGCAGAAATCAAATTCTACGAAAGAAACTTTGAAGGTCGGTCTGGTGCGACGGCAATTACGAATTTACGGTATAGTTCTAGATGGCGAACATTTCCCCCTAGTTATGTTGTGCTGTCTTGTGGGCTGGACGTGAGAGCATGGCGGTTTATTTGGAGAGGTGCAATCCTGATCGAGCTGAGACTTGGTGTGATTGGGCGGCGTCATGGGATATCACTCGGCAGTGGCGATTGGCGTCGGGCTTGGAACAGTCAGTAAAATTTCCAAGACGAATCCCGTAGGTCGTCAACATTATTTCAGTCGATCCGGTGTGGTGCGGGGTGGCAATCTGGCGAAGATGGGCGAGATGTTGCTGCAGCAGCGGCGAGTGATTTTCCAGTCGGCCTACAACTCTCGCCCTCCATTCCCATCGTTCACGACAAGCTCCCGCGCAACTCAACAGCTTGTGTCCTCCTCCTAGCCTCCCATTCATTACCCATGTATACACATTCTCCATCCCCGCCTCCGCCGGCAGCGTATGCCAAAGCCCAAAGCACACATCCTTACACAGGGCGACCTTACTTCCCACAACCCTACAATGTGCGCAGGCATATCCCGTAGCATGTACGGCTCCCTTGAACGTCTTTGCATCCCTCGACTCGGGCCAGTTCTTGGCCTGCTGGCGCAGGTAGCGGCACATAAAACATGGCGGGGGCAACACCGGCGCCTTGGAATTCGAGGAGGTGCGGACCGAACGAGTCGATGCGGCATGTGGGAAGGCGGTAGTTCTTGCTGATGTAGCCTGGTGGTGTGAATGTCAGTATGGGAGGGAAGGGTGATGGAGTACAGGGTACTGCGTACCCTGCTGCCTGCTCTCGGAACAATTGCCTTGAGGCCTGTTGCCCTGTAGGTATTTTCCATCTGCGACTCGCTTCATCGGTTCGCCTTGCTGCGTATGGGGACGACGGAGGGGCGGTAATCCCGGAGCGGCCGCTTAAAAATCCGTCTTGTGGGCGTGGTCGTCGCGATATCCCTCCTGTACCAGCTGCCACGCCAGATCTTTCAGGAAAGTTCTACAATCGTCGAAGCATTCCTCTTCGCAATTTCCACGTTCCCACTGGTCCTGACGGGCAACGACAAAGGAGTTTATACCGGCGGTGGAGAGCAGCCAGAACAACAGCGGAACTCAGGTTCTGCGCACGGAGAGGTGGCTGCAGATGTAGCTGCGTTGCTCGTCTGCAAGCCAGGAGTCGACGCCGAAGCCGCCGCCGCCCATGTGCTGGTGCTGGTTGTACTCGGAGACGATTATTGGGTTTGGGAGGCTCTTTTGGCCCCTACTGTCTTTCCAGCTCCACTCCGTGTCGCTATAAGTTGCATACGGAGGTCGCACAACGTATTCGGTCGTCATCAACCGCGCCAGTTTCTTGTCCTGCAGGATGATGCACAACACACCGTCCACTACCTCTCCGGCCGCCGTGCCCCGTTCAAAACCGCCATGTTTCTCCTCGGCCCGTCGACGTATCGCCGGATATTCATCACAACTTGGTCTTGCCGTAGCGCAGCAAGTAATTCTATGTCTCAACAGAGCTCTGAACAGCGGAACATTAGCGAAGTAGCTATCGCAGAAAATCATGAACCGATGGCCGCCCCAGGGCAGAGCATAGCACAGCCAAAAGAACGCACGCGAAGTTGCGCTTAGGAGCAACGGGTTTTCGGGGCCGTCGGGATGCGGGCCTGGATACGGCTGATCAAATCCAGGGCTCAAGCCGCCGGCACGCGATGAAAACGCCCAGTTATAAGTGTAGCCACGGTCGCTCAGGGCCAAAATCTTGTAACCGTTCAGAAGAGGCTTCGATGACATGCGGAGGGTGGGTGGTGTCCGGCACGTAAACTTCACCATCATCGAGTCTAGCGAAAGATGGCTTGCCGGGAGATGGCGCTGGAAGCGCGCTTTGAGGTGCCCGTTCAAGGGCTCTAGCTTGTCGTACCACCGTGTGCGCGAATGTGTCGATGGTGGTGAGACGTGGAACCAGCGTTTGATCTCTTCGAACCGCACTCGGCCCATGTAGGTGGTGATCCTGCAGATGGCACACTGTCAGTACGTACATGCATTACCAAAGAAAAGGTGTAGGATAAAGAGACCTGTAGTTTGGCGCCATGTGATTTTATCCCAATACTCCTCCACCGTCGCATCTCTATACACGCCCATATATATCAACAGCCCGACAAAGATCTTCATCGAACCTGGAGTGACATCCTTCTACCACTTCCCTCTCCCCCTCGTATTCTGCTCTTCCGTAGCCTTGTGCGCTCGGTAGGCATTGGTATTGGCCGCCAAGGTTTCAAACTCGCTGTCTGGGAAAAAGAGCTTGAAGTAGTCGATTGGGGCGAGTGAGGAGTCCGCGTCGTTGAATCTCCCGGGCCACGGCAGTAACTGCAGCTTGCGTTTATGGATTGGTTGCGGATGTTGATATGGAATGTACTCGGGTACTGGTGGAAGGCGAACTTCAACATCCGACGAAAGGTTCGGCGCTTTCATGCTCGGCTACTTCATGGTTGGCGATGTTGCCATCCAATTCCGCATCCTCGTCGAATGACCGACCCCTTTGGTTCTCGTAGGTATATTCTTCGTCCAGCATCATGGTGTTGCGAGAGCCAGAGCGAGAGCCAGGCTTGGATTTTCTTTAGCCGAAGCGACCTCACCGTACATACCACTGCTTGGCATCAGTCCGACATCAGCCCGACATCATAACCTACACACTAGAGTAGTTGCCTCCACCCACCTGTAGCTCGGCTCCGCGGAAACAATCAAATTGGGCGCGTGAGTCAACATAAAGAATCCATCACGATGCACGCGGAGATCTCACTCGTGAATAGTGAGGTAAAACAAGGTTGTTTTCTCAAATCTCAACCCTCATGGTAGGAGCTCCTCATATCGCTCACTGCCCAAGTCTTCCTCCAAGCTGACCCCCATTGCGTCTCGTCTACAGTTCATTCCAACCAGCTTTCGCCACCCCTTATAAGACAACATCAGATAACATCCTTTCCTATGAGCCATCGCCATGAATCTTAGCTGGCATACAACAGTCCTGCACAACCAGGAAAAAATGCCCATCATTAGGGCAATCAAAAGAGAAAACACGAAACAACCGCACAAACGTCTTGCCATCTTGCAAAGCTTTTTAAACAATATTTCATAGTAACGTCTCTATTCAAGCACACCGCCAAAGCAATTCTTTCGGTCCTCACACAGGCTGTAATAAAAGAACTCAGCAAATCCACCCTCGTTTTCCGCGAAGAAGGTATCCACGAAGTATTGATGGTGCGCATCGTATACGGCGTCACCGGTATCTGGCACAAGATGCACTGGTTGACCGGAGACCTCGGTACAGAAGAGCCTCGGGGTAAGAATTCTCATGCACATCGAGTCGAAGTGGTTTTTTCCACAATGGAGGCAGGGCCGTAAGGGCTGGAGACGCTCTGCTGGTGCAGCGGTACAAGGCCTCCTGGCGGTGTTGGTTGGCGTCCATCCGAGCCATGAAATCGACTGTGGAAACCGCCGGGTGTCTGGTTCTCGGACGGGCTGTTGCGGCTGCCGCTCTCCCTGGCGGTTCTTCCGAGTCCCCACCCTGCGGAGTTTGGGTTGCGATTCTCTTGCCGGTGCCTGGCTGGCCTGGTTTTCCACAACTTCCGAACCGCCGAAGGGCCAGCAGTTAGGGGTTCGGGCTGGGCCCTGGTACGGCCCTGGGCATGGACTATTCGGGTTCCTTCCACCGCGCAAACGGTTATCCTGCGCGATGAGCGCGTCACGTAGCCCTTCTTCCACATTCTGCAATGCTAGTAGATGAGACGAGATGGAGCGGTCCGCCTGAACGGTCGGCAGACATTTTTGCAATTCTGGGTCTAGTTTAAAATGGGCCGCACGAAGTTTCGAGTTGTCGTCGGAATTCGGATAGGCGTCAGTGACGAGGGACAACATATCTGTAAACCAATACATCAGGGAAGCACCAGACATAAACTGCTCCACCGTAAAGCAGGAATCTCGACAGGAAAAATTTGCCATGGCCTCCCCGACGGGAAGGCGGAATTTTTCCTGCAACGTCTGAATCCAAATTGCGCAGGTGCCTGAGTTGTCTCTTATGCACGCATTCTTGATATACTGGTCTGCTATGTTGTTCCACCAGGCCACGGCTGCGCCCCGGAAGCAACTCGGGAGGTTCCTTGCAACTGTGTCCGCCCCGTATGTTGCGATCCAGTTGGCGATGCAGTTGGTGAAGGTGTGAACATCACGGAATAGGCATCCATCACCGGGACGGTACACAATTCGTCCGGCCCCGTAGAATGCTGGCACGTCAGGCCAGAAAGATCCAACAAACTTCTGGTTCCACTCCCGCTTATAACGTTTTGCGGTGTTGAAACCCGTCCCATCATGAGTGGTCGATGCCTCGCCATCATCCGTCTGCTGAATGCGAAGGGCTTCCGTAAAAGCGTGAGCGATACGTGCATCTTCGTGGGTTGGCAGCTTCCCACTGCTAGTCTGGTCGCCCTGTGGTGGTAGGATGAAAGACACCCTGTCTTCTTCGATGGTGGGTGATGCAGGAGACGATACCGTTTGGCGGTGGGGTAAGGGTGAGTGTCCGGGGGCTGCTGTTGCAGCGGGCCTGTTGAAGAGAGGGGAGGTGGGGTTTGTTGGTCTGATGGGAAGGGGAATGTTCATAGGGGATGTTGAACAGCCTTGCAAGCCTGCACCGCTGTCGGAGGGACGCTGGAGGTTTTCGACAATGGCGATGCTACTGGCGAGGTGGGATCAGCAATCCTGTCGAACAAGAACGCGGTGAGGAGGTGATTCTCTCGATGAGAGTCTCCCTTATGTGCTCTCGCTCGGATCAACTCTTGTTGCAGTGAGTGTTAGACTTACTAGTGTACGGTGGGTATGTACGCGGAGATGGTACTCGTGACAAGTGAGGCGAAAGAAGAAGGTTGTTTTCTCGAGCTCTCGTGATCAGGAAGGAAGACGATGAAGATAAAAGATGATGAAGATGAAAGATGATGAAGAAGTGGAGGTTGTATTCGACTTCGAAGAACCATCTACTCTGATATGGCTCTCCTCCGCTACCTACAACGTTCGGTGTCACTCGGTATGGCTAGTCCGGTATCACCAACTGCGTTGGGTGGTGTGACCATGGGCGGAGGGTGTTGTTTTGATTCGATTTGAGAGCGGGCAGGACCGACGCACGAGCGGTGGAATTTCGCCGACCTGGCTAGACTAGATTCGGTGGGGCCAAACCGTCGAAGAGCTCTTGTTTACGTTGTCGGCCGGTCTGTCTGTTCATCGTCCATCATCTGTTTTATCGTTCTCATCATTGCTTTCGTTGCTTTCGTTACTTTTCATCGATCGTTGTTTGTCCTGATCTCGCCATTCAACTCGCGGGGTACTTGAGGTTCATCACCTGAAGAACACAGATGGCTTTTTCTTTCATTGACACTTCTCTCCCTAGTCAAATACAATCGGTCTTTCGTCTCTCATCACAGTTGCCTGAGGGTCATCCATGTCCCTAGTGCTTCACAAGATATCACCAACAGTCGGAATCACCGATCCGACTAGCCCGCCTTCTATTTTATCTTATCTGATCCTCCATCTATCCTACATGTGCTCCTCTCATGGTGGTGGCAGACGACACAGCACCAGACACAAACACAGAACCCGCTCACCTCCCCTCCCCATTTTCCTTCCCTTTCCAGCCTAATTACCTAATTATGTAGGTACGCAACCGAGGAACTGGATTTTGTAGTCGAGCTCACAGGAGGTTAGACGGGACGAGAACTAGACTAATGAGTGCCTGGTACCTTCATTCATTGATTCAGTCATTCATTCTCCCATTCCTTCTTTCCTTCTTTCTGCCTTTCTTTCCAGTGGGCTAAGCGGAGATGATTGAGCGGGGAGGAACAGGGAGGGGTTGACTCACGGGGAGGGCTGGCCAGAGTGCAATGTTAGGTAATCGGCACGGTATCGAGCTCACGACCAGCGGGGTCGGCGCCAACAGCCGTGTGGAAACGGATATGTAATCTTCCATGATATACTAATACCAAGGTCAAATGCAATGATTGTACAAAAAAAAACCCCGGCAGCGCAAGGCGTGTCACCCGTCGAGTGATATATAGTGCTTCATCCCTGATGCCCAAAACAAAAACCGTAGAAAATAAGGCAGCAACTTTCAAGGCGGTCACGTCCCAGGCTCCAGTCAATGTCAACTGCAACTCTGCGACTCTGCAAGCGAGCAGGATTAATTAAATTACTGCTTATACTAAAGGCTGAAGCCCTGGGGCGAGCGATGATAACTTGATCCGTGGCTACTCAAGAAGCAGTGGGATGATTGCTCCCCCAACTCCCGAGTTCCTTCTCCGGTCGTGTTCATCCCATCGATGGTACTACCACGTACCTATGCTACAGATCCAGCTGAAAAGATCGAATCAACAGTTGTCGGTGACTGACCCTCGCTGACATCTCCGAGATTGGACTCTACCCGCAACCCATACCGAAGCAAACATATAGGTAAACCCTTCTTGGATTACAATCTGAACGGAACTAAAAATACACCCAAACCACCAAATGGCAACGCACACTACGATACAATTCCAATCTCCAATTTCTGTCTGTCAGACTGTTCCACCTCATTACTCATCTTTTACCTACCTATCCAGCATAAACCCCCCGTCCCGCCTGCCTCCAAACCCACTCAGCAACGCTCCTTCCAACCGCGCCACGTTCAACCGCCGCACCAACCCACCCAGCAACCGTTGCAACGCCGACAACCAGCCCACCCCAGAGCGCCCAATCCATGACCAGTTCCATCTCCGATTTCTCACCGTCCTGGACACGGTCGTACTTAGTGAATCTCTCGACGCCTTCGCGGCGGCGGACAACGTCTCGGCCACCGTCGCGGGGACGCTCAGCTTGCAGGTTTACGACTGCCATCTTGAGCGTCGAGACTTCGTTCTGGAGCTCCCAGATCGCCGTGTCGCGGGGCGCGAGGATGCTGTTGAGCTGGGAGCGGGAGAGGCCGGGGAGCTGCAGGAGGGGCGTCTCTGGTCGTGGGGTTTCGGGACGCGATCCAGGGCGGGTTTGCGGGCGGCGGTTGGTGCCCTCGAGGAATTGGCTGGTCGGGGGGAAGCGCCCGATGTAGTCTGTGGGCGACTGCTCGGCAACGGGGGTGCTGGCTGGGAGTAGTTTTTCCTGTGCGAGGGGGGGTACGGGGACTTCGGGCTCAATGCCGAGTTCGATGCTGGAGCGCCGAGGAATCTTGCCTTTGTGGCCTTCGTCAACACCGTCGCCGGGGCGCTTGGATGGCTCGGTGATGGAGGGGCGATGGCGAGGGGTGGCCGGGCCTGAGGTGAACTCGACGGGTGGTTGTTGTGGGATGGCGATGGGGCGGGTGGAGAGAACATGCTGGAGCTTCTTGTGTTCGAGTTCCTCGTGCGCAGAACGTTGGTGCACCGCGTCGCCAATGTTGGTGCCGAAATCTCCAGGTTTGATGTGGCTATGCTGGAGCTCGCGAGTTTCGGCGTCCGGAGCGGCATCCTTTCGGTGGTGTTTGCCGTCTGACGGATGGTCCTTATCAGCCACCTCTGGTTTCTTCACATGTTCGGCATTGCTACTGCCCTTCCCTCCGTGCGACGCGCGAGCCTTCGTAGCCGCATGCTCCGCGTCAGCATGCATATCACCCTGATGCCTCGATGGCTCCATTGAGTTCCCCATGCGCTCGCTCTCATGCTTCAACTCTTGATGCAGACGATCACCAATATTCTCGCCCATCTCGTCCGGCCTCAACTGGATCTTATCAAGCTCAGGAACCGCGGGCGTATTCTGCCCTCCGCTTCCGGGGCCAGCCTTTGTATTGTTCGGAGTCTTTGGTACGGTGCTGGGAGACATCGAAACGTTTTCGTAGGAGCCGCCCAGGCCGCTCTCGTCTTCGTGAGGAGTGTCGGTAGCGGCAGCGGCAGCGTAGCTGTGATCCTCGGAGCGCGAGGTTGGGGAAAGGTTCGCGTCTTTCTCCTCCTGGGTGCCGGCCAGCCGGCCAGCTTCGATCTTGGACTTTGCAGTTGCAGACTCCATTTCCTTGCCACCGAAGGTGTATCGCACGGTGACGGGACTCTTATCCACTTTCTGACCCCCCTCTTGCTTCGCCTTAGGCTCAACCTTGCCCTTATCAGTCCTCTGCCGCTGAAGCACCTCTTTGTTCTTCCCGCTCAGGTACCTCACCCTCGTAGGACTATCCCTTCCCTTCCCTTTCTTGTCCTTGTTGCGTTCGCCGCCCTGATCTCCGTCGTTCCTCGCTTCAGATTCGGTCAAACACTCTGCGAGATTGTCCCTAACCGCCTCCTTCTCCTTCTCTTCGCTCAACCGTCTCTCGAGCGACTCCTCAAAGCTATGGGCGTCGGGCGTCGCTCTGACAGGCGAGATCTCGCCGGGGCTCGTGTCGGATGAGGAGCCTGACAGTGGGGTTTGCGGATCGCTGGACGCGAGGATGTGGGCTGGCGGGTTGTTTGGGGGGGGATTGCGGGTGCGCTTGGATTTGGAGGTTTTGCCCATCGTGGTTCTTTCTTTCTTTCTGGGAGAAAGCAGATGGCCGAGGGGGAGGGGGGAGGGATGAGGGAGGGATCAGCAATGGTGCAGATGGTAGGACGCTGCGAGGTTATGTAAGGATTGGACGATGTGGTGGGAGTTGCGTCATGAGATGCCGTGATGGTGACGTCAAGGAGATGTGTGAGGGCCACGGGAAGCGAGCGAACAGAAAGGCTGCCGAGAAGGCTGTAATCACGGTATCACGGGTCGGGGAGGATGATGGCATGGGAAGCGAGGGGTGGACGGTCCTCGGTCTGTGTAACTCGGGCCGTTCGTAGCCCAACAATCGTGTAGGACAGTCCCGTAGCCAGAAGTTGACCACTGTGAAATCTGCCGAATACAAGCACTTTGTTAAACTTTTGAATCCGCACCAAATATTTTGTTTCGCTAATAGCACACAATTATCAATCATAAACATTACCCCACAATCTCCCTCCCCTCGGCCACCGGCTTCTCCGACGCCCGCTCCAGGTCGCTCGCCTTGACACTGGCCACCTCATCCTCCTCGAGACTCAAATCTCTACCCAACTTCTCGGGCCCCAAAAACACCAAAACAATGACATACGCGAACACAGCACCCATGAATATGGCCATGACCTTGGCGTAATCATATCTCGCCTCACCGCCATCACTATCCTCGAGCGGGAACCTCTCGCCAATCGTGGCCTCGATAGTCGAGCTCGCCGAGCTGACAAGGTTACCGAGCTGGTACGCGGTTCCGACCACGAACGTGCGCATCCCCGGCGGCGATAGCTCCATCAGGTGGATGGGGATCACGCCCCACGCCCCCTGCACCATGAACTGCTCAAAGAACGCGGCCGCCATGATGTTGTTGCTGCGCACGTACGTGTACGGGTACACCAAAGCGCCGCCGAGGATGCACGCGCCGATTATGGAAGTGCGTCGCCCGATGGTTTGCGACATGTATCCCATCGTCGTGCCGCCGAGCATGGCGCCGAGGTTCGCGACGACTTGCGTTACCGTTACTTGGTTGGACGAGAACTCCAGCTGGCTCTCGAGGAGGGTGGGGTATAGGTCTTGGGAGCCGTGGGACTTTGGATCGGTCAGCGGGAGTTATGTAAGTGAAGGATGAGAGTGCAAACAAACCATAAAGTTGAATCCCGCCATCATAAGGACCATGTACACAAGCGTGATCCAATGTTTTTTGAACCCGACCTTCGCCTCCTTCATGAACGTGCTACCGACGCCCTCCACCTCCGCATGTTTCCTCAGCTCCTGTCTCGCCAGGAACGCGTTGGTCTCGGGCAGGTACAGGCGCCACAGGATGATGAGCGCGGGCGGGCAAGCACCGAACCAGAACAGCGGGCGCCACCCGTGGGTGGGGTCGTGTGCGAGCGCGCGAGAGAATACCGCCGCGAGAAGGTACCCGAACGCGTAGCCTTGCTGGAGCATGCCGCTGAGAATTCCGCGCGCTTCCGGTGGTGCGTCTTCGAGTGCTGTGGCGGCGCAGTTGCCGTAGATTCCGCCCATCGCGATGCCGAAGAAGGCGCGGACGATCAGGAAGCCTTTGTAGCTGGGTGGGGGTTAGTAGGAGGGAGGGTGGCGGGAGAGAATGTTGTACGCACCTGGTCATGAAACCGGTGAGGAGCTCGAAAAGGATGAAGAGCAGGTTGTTGATGATGAACGGCCACTTCCTTCCCCACTTGTCGGCGGCGATACCGAAGGTGATGGCACCCACACTTCGCAGCATCAGCACCAATGTTATGCCCCATGTGATGTCCGTCTTCGAACGGTCGAATTCTTTGGCCAGCGCGGAGACGGTAAGCGACACGGTGAAGAAGTCGAAAGCATCCCTATGCGATTCCCATCTGTTAGCATGCGCAAAGACAGGCTGGTGAGAGGGGGAGGAAATCGTACCAAGTCCAAGCGACAAAAGCGATCAAGAAGAACCGCCATTGATGCCAGGTGAGCGTCCTCAGCACCGCGAAAGGGTTGGGCGGTACATTTCCGGTGGGCTTCAGTGTAGTGAATCTCGTAGCAGCGTAACGACCAACGCTCATGTGTTCCGCCATTTTGGTGATGGGCCGCCGGGTGGATGATATCGACGAGATGCTGGTGCGGGTTCGGAACACGGACTGACAGACAGAGGGGTTGCCATCCACACTTTATCGAAATCCAATCCGCAGTGATAATCCCTATGGATTACCGCTTTCGATCGCAGAGGGAAGGCAGGTGGGTCTCGTGAGGGATTTCGCACTATAACCGACACTCCGGCGGGGGAAGCACGATTACTCGCTCGCCCACGCCCTTCGGGTACCCACCCTGCAGTGTATAAATCCAGTATTACCGCACCCTCACGATTCGCGTGGGATGTCTCCGAAAACTGTTCGATGAACCAGTTTCTGGGTACGTAAGGAAGTACATGGCATGTACCGTAACGTTGGACCGGTGCTTAAGTGACACCTTCAACCATGGATTAACAAACTCGACATACACCGGTGGGTACTTGCTTAGGTACGTACCCCGGCTGTCACCGTCAACAAGTCAGGTGGATTGTCCTCGTCGCCATCGGCACCCCCAGTCCCACCGCACGAATTCTCGTCCATGACGTTTCGATCGTGCATGCGATCATGGATTCTAAACGTCGAAGTAAGCATTTGCATGCATGAAGATCGGCAGCGTGCCGCATGCCGAACAGCCGCGCGGGTTCACCAGCCCAATTAGGCAACAATTCCGGGCGCAGTAGGTGTGATTGCCTGTGTTCGCGCTGGTGGTCCGAGACTACTGCATGCGGGGTAAGGAAACCCATCTGTAAGTAGAGAACGGAAGGAACCGTTCACGGGAGCCGACGGGTGGAATAGTATATGTGGAGTAGAGTAGGCTGTGTATATGGCCAAATCTTATCTCCGTCCACCAAGACGCCATGCCTGTCTCCCTGCCTCTCCAGGGTCACGGAGAGATTCCGGAGGAGAAACTGGATCTCCATCTCCATCCCCACCCCTCAATGCACGGATATATGCATGTATGGCCTTAGAAAAGTCCGTGCTGACATCCATGTGTAAGCATAACTCCATCTCCGGCGAGCCGAAGATTGGCCTCCACATCTCGGGGAGCATTCCGAACGGTAGCGGGTTCGAGTGCAGGCAAGCGCCCGCTAATTCCCGCAGATGCACTCTTCTTTATCGCGGACACGTACTTGCCTACCGACCTCCTACATCCATAAGGTGGATACCTTCCTACAATCCTGCAGAGATCTCTCGTAAGTCTATACGCGTCGGCGAGCACCTTCCCAGCGCCTACACACTTACACACATACCTTATTAACCTGCTATCTCCTTCGGCTACAGCCTTGTACCTACCGTACCGTATCCACGTATCCCGTTTCCACGCATGTAGGCCTGCACCTACGTGTATCTCCGAGATCCAGCGGCAGTATCCGTCGGCCTCGGCAGATCTCCTCGTCTCCACCACGGAACTAATCGGTCCCGTCCCGTCCCGTCCGAGCGTCGCTTATATACGGAATAAATAGATAAACGGTGAGATGGACCGTGTCACCGTGGACGCCGGCCGACGGGAAGAGATGGCGAATTGAGGATTCGAGGACATGAAGACCCTACTAGTATAGTAGAATGTGGAGTAGAATGTGGAGCCGCAACGCCAGCCTCCCATCGATGCGCTACATAGCGGAGGAGGAGAGTGGAGGAGAGTGGAGGAGAGTAGGTAGAGTAGAGCAACCTTCCGGCGTGTCCCCGGATCGGCCGTACGCGTAGGCTTGCTATGTAGGAGATATCTACCAGTGATTTCGTCGTAGGCATGTACGTACGAATATTGGTATCTAGACTCTCACGGACCGGTCGTCGTCGTCATCGTCGTTGTGGACCGTGGACGTCGCATCGGTGGAGATGTTCGGGGTTGCTCGTGGTTGCCGAACACCTGTCATGATGGATAACGAGGACGGAGAGGATTATAGGATCCCAGGAGCTTGCGGTTGACCTCTCGTTAGTTATCCGTGCAGCCTTCCGGCCTCTTCACTTGACTCTTGCGAGGTAATACTTTAATCGCCATTTTTGGTAGTAACATGAGGACTTTCTGTATCTGACATCTTGACTGCTGATGTGGAAGACAATTCCATATTTTTATCTCTTTTACTTCCCATTCATTACCTTGTAAGTGTATTAATACGCGTACCTCAACTCTTGGCATTTCCCATATCCAGGTTGTTGTTTGCCACGATAGTATTAGGGGGTGATATCTAAATGAGATAAGATGGATGGATAAGGATGGAGCGATGGATAAGATAGGAGATAGGCGATAAGGGAATTAGGACCAGAAGGCATTGGGAGAGAAAAGGACTCTGCGACACCACCACACAGCACGCTCAGCAAAACGTCGCGACAGAAATAAAATACATAGAGATGAAACAAAACATTCTCGGCAAACAAGTCTCAAGTTACAAGTCTTCTCTAGAAGGCAGGAGACCTTGCACTTCAAGGTTGAACGTCGGATCGGATGTCGGTGTCGTTTAAAATGGACCGATTATCGCTAAGTTTGATACCGCGTTTCGCATTCTGTATATCTTTCCTATTTGAAATATCAATATACAAACAACTCAAATAATCCGATGTACCTAGCACAACATAAAGTACCTTGTAAGGGAGCTACCGCCAGCAGCCTCCAAATTTGAGTCTGCGCCTTCAGTTTTATTGATGCCTTTCAGCGCGCGAAAGATCTGGGACGCGGTGTAACGATTTTTCTTGACCTCCGAGACGATAACTTGCTTGACGACGGACGGCAGGCCACAGATGCGAAAGATTTCGTCAAGGCTGTGGGTGTGTGCGGCGGAGGTCTTTCTTTCCACCACGACTTTGACGGGCTCACTGCTGGATTCCGGAATCGTATGCGTGATTTTCATCTGCACCTGGCAGAGATCCTTGACGCGTGCCTCGGTGCTGCGCGGCTTCACCACTCGTCCGTCTTTTCGCGAAATGTTCGTGCCCGTCTTCTTGCTCTTGCGCAGGCGGCATTCGTAGTGCTGTACGCGGATGGCACCGTGTCGCTGTACGGTGCTACCGCCGATCTTCGTCCATACCGTGTCGACCAACGGCCAGTATTCGGCGAATTGCTGCGTGCTCAGCACCACCGGATGGTCCAGGCGGAAAAGCATCTCGCGGAAGATATCTGCCTGTTCGGGTAAAGGGATCTTGGTATTTATCGCCGAGGGGGAGGAGGAGGAGGCGGAGGTGGAGGATGAGGACATTTTCTGGCTTCGAGTGAGGCTGATTGATATGTGCTGAATATCCGGTGGTGGTAGGTAATGCGTCTGCAGAAAGGTTGTCCTCCCCCTGAACGGTGACGCCTCGCTAGAGTAGTCAAGCCGATTCGTCCCGAAATCTCCTACAGGATCGCAACGGGTTCAGCGCTACTGATCGTCTTAGTGTGAGCACGTCCCTCCACATAGAGTCCACAGTGCCTGCCGCGCCGGCAACTCGTCACTCGCAGAGTCGCAGAAATCTAAAGTCAACAACAGGCCACATTTTACTCTATGATGTATTATTATCGACGACGACGACCCCACTCTGGCAACATAGATACATACTGGGTGGCTCCCTGAGCCCGATGAATTTTCGCCCCCGTCTGACATCCATCTACACCGTCGTTTATTCGAGACTTGAAGTCCGTTGCCGAGTGCGAGCTGGTGGTATACTCTCCCTGAAGACCAGACTCCACTCTGCTACACACAGAGGAACTACAATGCCAGACTCCACGAAACTGAGTGGCCAACATTCTCGCCAGGCCAGCGTGCCCGAACTTCGTCCTGTGTGTTGCCGATGATCGATCGCAAGACTTGACGCGGCTCCCATTCACACGCATCCATCAGGTTAGTCATCGACTCATCGCTGGAAACGGTTCCAGACTTCCAGTCAGTTACTTTCGGCCTGAAGGCTGAAGCTGGGCCTGCCACCATGATGATGTAGTTTTACGGAAAGATACGCCAACAGCCAACTACTCCATGGGAGACGGCGACCTCGTGCGATGAATCATGAATCGCGTGGAGCCGGGGATCTTTCTCCCTGTAACCACAGTGGAAGACCGTAGGTGAAGCTTTGCGAGAACACTGTGCTGGCTAAGGGCTTCAAGTTTCAACGGCCATCGGTTCGGCGATGTCGTCTGCGTGGAAAGTTGAAACGTCAGGTCGACGGATGCGCTGACGAGCAGCAGAAGGGTGCCAGCCTTCCAGGTACGCTCGCTGCAGTGAGTGCAGCCTTATGGACCATGGAACGTTTGAAACCAAGGTGGTAAATCGGGTTAATCGCGACGACTATTGTACCGTCAACAGTTCGGTATGTAAACTGCAGACTGCAGACTGTAGGGTAAGATCCTTTAAAACTTGATCGTTTATTCCGGTCCGAATAAGATCTATGTGCGTACGTAAACAAGGCTGAGGTAGACGTGCACATTTCACCAGGACTGCAACCTGTGTTTCATCTAATCCCTCGGACGATGGATAGAGTAATAGAATAGGAACCGAGTCAGCCTGGAAGTTTGTCACCACCTCCACCCACCCCCCCCCCCCCCCCCCACGTGCACGGTGCCTGCTGGATGACCACCCGGTCCCACGTCGTTGCGAAGCGGCGGAGCCCATCATCGTAGATCACCCGCTCTGCACCACCGCAGTAGACGCGGGCTCTCCCGTCCACAGCTGAACCGGCTCGACTACGGTACGGTACGCTACGGCGAAACAGAACTGTTTCGTAGGTGTATATATCGCTGAAGGTATAAAAGCAAAGCAAAAACCACGCACGCCGGCAGCGAGAGCCGACGCATGAATACGAGTTTGCGATGGATGACCAGCGAGTTCCAGCTTCCAACTTCCCCGCTCTGCAGTCTACGAACACAGCCGATACGCACGCATAAATGCCCGCACGTCGTTGACCTGACCTGTAACAGTGTTACCTATGCCGCGACGATCGTCGCGGCCAAGGTCCAAGCTTCGAGAAGAGGTACGGTATGTGCGCATCGTCTAAACGGCCACACATACGACGTACGCAGCGCAGCACACTGACTACCTCAGGTAGGTAATTGCTTCTTCGCTGACGCAATCACCTCCCCCGCCGACATATATCCACCTGGAACCTGCGCATGCAAAGCAGCGACGGACTTCCGTCTCCCCGTCTCCCTGTCTCCTATGTAGATAACGGCGTTCCGTCAGCTGTTAAGTTTCAACGGAACAGGCATTCCGCATCCAGTGGGCAGTGAAGGCTGAAGGCGGCCGCGCATGCAACAAGTGCGCCCCAAAGTCGTAGCTGGGGGTTCCAACGGGGGGGGGGGGAGTGCGCCGAGTGATGCGGGGGAGGGGGCTGTGCTTTGCTTGTTGCATGGGATGGGATGGCGACGGCATGATCCGTTGGGCTGCAGGCTTCTGGCTTCTGGCTGGCTTCTGGATGGTGCGGAAAATGATCGACAGCCTCATCGCTAACTGACATGCATGTTGTGCGCGTGCGGGGTGCATGAGGATGGTGATGGGAATGGGGTAACTACGGTATGGTCGGTGTCCACCTGCACCTGAAGGTAATATGGAGTCAGGGGCACTGTATGTACTAGCTGGTAGTTATACCCGACAGGCGGGGTAACTCTAGTATCTAGGTACTTAGTCAATGTAGCTCTGGAAGCACGGGCACGAGCACGAGCACGAGCACGAGCACAGGCACATGCACCAACACTACCACGAGCGACATCGCAATGTGGGGGATGGAGGGGAACACTTAGCACCCTGCACGTTCGCCTGGGTATTCAATCCCCATCTTCCAGGGCTCCAAGCATCAGGGCAAAGTCTTCTTCCGTAGTACGGAAAAACGAAAGAAATAATCGGACAACACTCGCCGGCGCGGCACTTTTTCTATTTCCGCTCGGCATTACGTACGTATCGTACATACATACAGAAGTGCATATCACCTGTAGGAACGCTCCAGGTTGGGTACCTGACGACTGGTACGATGGTTGCGGGGAAACTTCAAACCCCAAACTCCAAGCTTTCTGCAGGCTGCACCTACGTGTATATTGGACAGTTTGACGGTAGGGGCGGGCATCTTATTGGCGGCTAACTAACTACAGGTCGCACGAGCAGTGCGCACCGATCGTGCGCCTGTCCTGCACAAACAGAAGGGTTGTGTGCGCGAGGAGCAAAAAAAAATGTCAAGCTTCGAGATGGATGGATGGACGTAACGAGTCCCCGTCTGGAATCTGGATTGCGTTTCGCGCGGATGAGGATCCAACTATCTACCTCTGCATAGCTGAACTACACACATACGAGGCTTGTTGAAAAAGGCCGCGGTGCCCCGGCCGGAAGTCCGATCGTTCGGTCCGCAGTCAACTCCGCATGTAACACGGCCTCTCTTCCGATGGCAACTCGCGCGCTATTCCCCCTCCTCTTCCTTGCCTGCGCGGCGCAGGCGGCAAAGACGTACCGCGACCAGTGCGACCAAAAGATCGTCGAGGTGCTATCCTACAGCAACAGCAGCCACTACCGCTTCCCCGACACGACGGACATGATCAGCGGGCGACAGCGGGTGCACCTATGGGCGTGCGAGGAGATCTGCGGCGCCGAGTCGCGCATGTACCCGTGGCTCGACATCTTCCAGCGGATAACGCTGTGGAAGGTGCCGCTGCTGCTGCTGATAGGAAATTTCCAGTTCGCGCAGCTGGGGCTCGGAAACCTGCTCTGCGTCGTGTGCCACCTCCTCGGCGACCCCATCGATACCATGTGCAGCCTCCTCACCAAGCTAGAGGTCTCCCGCCGCCTCTACACCCGCTGGGCGACTATCTCCGAGCCCGTACTTCCGCCGGCGGGCCTAGACGAAGAGGCCCGCCTGGGCTTCACCACGCTCCCTGACCCTGCTTTCCAGCTGACGCTAAGCCAAGCGCAAGACCTTGCCGCCGTCAACGCCGTCTTCGACGACTGGATGCATAGTTCAGACATGGTATTCGTAGCGATGCGCAGTGCGCTTATGCGGCTGCCGCCCAAGCTACGAGTGCAATTCATCACGGCGATCACGGAAGCGGCCCACAAGTTGTCCGAGTCGCGGGCGGACGACCGGCTGCGCGCGTGGCTGGCGATACTTGGCTATGCCGTTGCCATCATTGCGGCGTTCATGCGCACGCTCGACCAGGGCCCCGAGAAGATGACGGCGCATAGCATCGCGTTCGCAATGAGCATGGTGTGGCTGGTGCCCGCGGTGATGATTTCGACGACAGCCGGGGGGTTTACGTCGAAGCGCGCGGGAATGAGGATCGTCCGCGAGCTGCAGGATGAGCTGGGCGCTGCGTGGCCTGTCCAGAAGATCGAGGAGTGGACGTGTACTAGCACCGTGTGGAATCCGGCTGGGAAAGGGAGGAGCGTGCTGTGGGAGAGCACGGTGCCCCTCGGGGAAGCCCTGCCTTGGTGTGGTGGGAATTATAGCTATCGTGCGTTCAAACGCTTGGAGAGCGCACATCTTAATCCTCCAGAGATGCGCCGTGGGTTGCCGACGTTCGCGGCGGAAAGGCCCACCGCTCTGTTGTACTTCTACTCCGTCTTGAGCGTGCTCCTCGCGGTCGGATGTGCGATGGCCCTTTCATGTCTCACATCGACAGTCGGCCTTGGTTGCCGGTTTGTCCCCCATCTAATCCTCTCCTCCCTTCTGCTGCTGCTGCTGCTGACATACCCAGAACAATGACGCAAATGTCCTTCTTCCTCGGCTGGCTCTTGAGCGTTGCGTTGACGCGCCTCTTCCGTCGTTATCTCTCCGGAAAATACCACTGGTACGCAATAGTCTTCAAAGACTTTATCATCGGCTTCCTCGTGATCGGCTTCATCGTCGCCGCCTTCATCGGCAAGTTCGTTTCCCCTTCCCTCCCCTTCCCCCCCCCCCCCTCCCCCTCTGCATCCCCCACTAACCACCGCAGATTCAACTCCTGCTTCTGCTGGTCCGCGTACTTCTCTCGCTTCAGCGGTGCATACGTGGAAGTGCACTCTTTTTACTTCGACGCGAACCTGCGCACCCTGACGATGACGAAATGGCCGATCCTTGTGGCGGTAGGACTAGGCGGGCAGGCGATAATGCTGGTGATCATGGGCTGGGGAAACTCGCAGGGCGTGTTGCTGCTGTTCTGTCGCGAGGAGAAGGAGCAGGAGGAGTATTTTGTTAATGTATTGCCGATGCAGGTTAAGACTATTGAGAGAAGGTGCAGTGAGACCGAGTCCGAGGATAGTTGGGCGGTGTATGGGGCTGGAAGGAGGGGGAGCGCACAGCCGGGGGTGCTGGATTGGGCCGCGGGGAGTGTGAGAGCCTGGTTGCCGGTGAGGTGGTGCGGGAGGGAGAGGGAGAGGGCGGAGAGGGAGAGGGAGAAGGCGGAGAGAATGTGCTGATCTATAGGAAAATTGTCAAAGGCTAAAAGTGAGACGTGATGGGTTATGAGTTATGATGTATTTCTAGTAATATGAAGACTGTGTATGAAGACCATTTCACTTCAGCCGGCCAGTCATGAGAGGATGTGATGTTCAACGTTCATCCTGATCGTGACCAAGACTGACGAGTGCAAACGAGCGGCAACCCCCATATTTTGACGCAGAAATTGCGATAGAAGCGCCGACGATGTTGATGTCGGACGGGCGGCCGCAGGTAGTCTCGGGTCCGGTATGTACCGCCAACATGTACGACTTGGAAAACCGCCTATACGCGGCAGCACGGCTATTTTCCCGCGCGCGTCCCATCGTCCCATCGTCCCATCGTTCCCCGTTCGTTCCCCGCTCGCTCGGCTCACTCGCTCAGTAGACCCTGCCCACCGGACCCTGCAAGGCTGCCACGGCTGCCATTGCCGAAAGGCGAGAGGCGAGAGGCGAGAGTGAATCCCTCCGCGCCTTATGGGCCATGGGCCATGGGTCATCCTGTCTCACGCGGGGCTCGGGTCTCGGATACCCGCTCGGGACCAGTGGCTCCGGGGAGTCGGGGAGTGCCCGATCGGATCCCGAGGCTCCGAGGCCCTACGACCAACCGGGGTTGGGGTGGGAGAGGGAGATCCTGTCCCACGCGTTTTTTTTTGATTCGCTCGTAGTTTCAGCGTGCTGAAGGAGTTGCTGGGTTTGTTTCGGTTCAATAGGCTTTGCATTCGACCTTGTTGGAACGGATTTATCACCGGATAGTTACCGACGTGGCGGCGCGATTGATAGCGGAGGATTCAGTGAATACTGTGAATTAGGCAGACTCACCGCCCAGAGGGATCGATGGAACAGTACTGGTACTGTTAGAATATTCCGCGCACGTGATGGTAAACAGTTTATTGATCCGATCCCCTCGATGATCGGACCCATTCGGACGGCTGGTAACATGACAGAGTAAGTAGTATAATAATATAAGTACAACACAAGTGATTACAACGAACGTAAGAAACCTCCCTAAAAGCGAAAAATATACAAGTCCAGACTAGGTAGGTAGACTCTAGTCGTCCTCCGGTTTCATACCTGTAACGTGCCACCTACATAGTTTTCCATCGTTCTGTCAGCAGGTGTATCATCACTGGGAAGGGGGGTATGTAACGAACATGATCTGATATGTATGCACCCTCTTCCCGCCCACATCCGCTTGCGCAAGTCTACACAGCGCCACAACATCCTCGGCGGACATATCTAGGTATCGCGTGAACAGGGCCATGGCGTAAGCCTTTTCACGGGTGCAGCCTAGGTATTAGCTTCTGGCTGCGGGGCTCGTCGTAAGGAGTGGGAGTATGCAAATGCAAATGCATGTACATACCTCAAACCCGCCTTTCCCAATCGCCAGAGCACAAGTCTCGCCTATCTTTTTCATCTCCGCGTTCTTTGGCCACGCTCCCCATGGTTGTTTATAGTAATGAATCTGCCGCCGCGTCATTTTCCATCAGCCCTCTTCCCCCCGCTCCCCATCCCTCCCCCTCCCCCTCCCGCCCCACCCCGCCAACGCATGCATACCTCAACATCCACAAACCCGGCCTCCTCGGCATACTGCCTGAGGACATTCCCGTCGGGTGCCAGCAGTCCCGCCTTAGTCCCGGCCTTCCAAAAGTTGTTCATATAGCGCTCGAGGTTTGAGCCGGCGTAGGTGCCGTCGTCGCAGTGCAGCTGCGCCTCGGTCTCCGCCAGCTCGACGTAGCCCCCCGGACGCGTGCTGCGGAACATCTGCCGCAGGTAGCAGGGCCAGTTCCGGATCGACTGCGCGATGTTGCGAGAGTGGATTAGGTCGAAGTAGTCCTAGGGAGGGGGTGGGGGTTAGCTGCGGGAGGGGGGAGGGGGGGGAGAAGGGGAAGGGGGGAGGGGGGCAAAGTACTTCTTTGAACGTCCACTCCAGCTCTAGATCGTCAACTTCGAATTTGACCTACAGACCCGGGAATCCAACTTTAGTCCGATTGGGATTTATGCGGGGTGTGGGGAGGATTTAGGCGGGGTGCAAGACGCTGCAGCAAACGACAGGAAGTGATCACATTTGGGAATACCCTGGAGGAAAAAAAAACTGTTCAGCGTGGTTTTGAGAATGGAAAGTGCCAGGTAAGTAGGTGAGTTTTGGATGATGGTGTGTTTTTGTTATTACCATGTTGGCTGTATAGGGCTCAGATCCACGCCGATGACCTGCGCGCACGGGAACATCTCGCCCATGTCTAGCGCCCAGATTCCGGTGCCGGTGCCGCAGTCGAGGATGTTGTGCGGGTTGCCCTTGAGCGGCGCGGTGTATAGCAGCCCCCGTAGTGAAAGGAATTGGAAGTGGTGGTAGATGTCTAGCCTGCCAGCGGGAAGGTGGTTACATCAGATGGCCTGTCCCCGACGTGATCAGACGTAAGGCCCGAGAGAGATATACCGGTCTTGTTCGGTCTATACGGAGTCAGCGAAAGGTTTTTATTCCGGTCCGGAGCCGGGGGAGGGGGCGTACCTCGTCGTTGGGCATCATGTATTTTCCGGCCTGAAATCTGTGGTACCGACGGCCTACCAACCGTGGAGCGGGGGAGTTAGACTTCGAGCAGCAAAGCCAACAAGCTTCAGGTGGGGCGTAGACGAACCGTTTTCGTACACGTAATCAATGACCGAAGCCGTAAGACTTTTCGTTGAGCTCACTCTTTATCGCCGCCAGTCAGTCGTGATTGTCCCGACCACAGCAGCGAATGTGTCGGTGTATGGTAGGTATAACCAAGTATGCAGTACGTACAAACTGTCACCGTAGCCCGAGTTCACGTCACCGGCGTCGTAGGCATCCTCTGGATTCGTTGCGGCATCGTCTTCTGCTTCGCTGGCAGTTGCTGGTGCAGCACTTTCCGCTTCCAACTAACGAGGTCGGGGAGTTGGGATCAGCGAATGGACAGCAGTGAGGTGGGGGCCAGAGGGGAGATGCTACCCAGACAGGGAGTGCATTCGTCCGTGCAGAAGAAGAAGAAGAGGACAGGAAGGTAGTGACATGGGTAAGATGGGTGTAATAGACTTACCTCGAGAATTCCCCAGTTATTCGATACAAGGGGAGATGGAACGGTTACAAAATCCTGGTGGTCGGACGTCATATTCAAGCGATGTGTGGGGGTGTTTCTTTCGGTTCGGTTCGTCGGTCTTTCTTTTTTATTTGCCCGGCGCGAAGAGCAGAGTGGACTATGGACCTGATCGATTAAGCACTCGCAGACTGCAATTGCAGGTTGGCCCGCGGCGAAACGGGCCACTCCGCATTTATATGTGCACCCTCTGAGTGCGCAGGGCTGCCATGCCACCAAGAGTAGAGTAAACTAGAGGAAGTATCGTTGAGTGCAACCGGGTTGGAATTAGCTGTGGATAGCGCCGGACGATTTAGATGGTTTCGTGCCCACGGCCACCACACCAATACCAACGTCCGGCCAATGCGCCGCTCCCATCTTACCGGAGGGGGGGGGGGGGGGGGGGGGGGCGAGTCTTAGGGGCGATTGGTCGGCCTGACGGCGAGAATTCGGTCCGTAATCTGGATTCTGCACAGCGCAGCCGGGAATAACCTGATTTCCGAGGCGCGTGCTCACGGTAGAGCACCGTGGAAAGCCTAGATCCAAGTACCCAAGCACTTTGAGTACCTTTGTAGATATGTATCGACCACGGCCATGATCGTCTGTGAACTCGTCACCACGAGTTCTACGACTATATACGAGCGCGAATCGTGGAACGTTGAGCGTGTCGTCGCGGCCGGCCATCGGGAAACCCGCGTTGCCCCCCCGGCCACCCCTTTGGAGATCTCCACATTTCGCGACGGCATCATCCGCCCGTCCGTCCTAGATAGGATCAGACCCGTCACCCGTCACGGGGAAGGAAGCTCACGGGACAACCCTCGTTCGTTCAGTCCTGCCCTGCCCTGCCGCCGCGCCACTGCGAGTTTGCTCCGCCAAAAAAAAAAAATGCACGCATGCACGCACGCTTTTATCACCGATCGCCCCCACGCCTCGCCCATGCAACCTCGCCTCGCCTAGTGCCGTGGTGGTCGTGTTGGCTAGCCGAGTGCAGCTCTAAGGGCCGAGAGTCGAACTTGAACTCGAACTCGACCGCGAACCCGAGGGGTGCTCCGACTTCTCACGTTGAGTCGTTCGTTGACGAGAACTTTGCTCCGGTCTCTGTGCCCGATGATCAGAGATTTGTGGCGATCCGTGATGGGGATAACTACCGTAGATACTAGTGCACGAAGCTCGTGTGTCCGGCGGATGGTGGCGAGGCACGGCACATAGGATGGTTAGGTGGAGAAGCTTAAAGGCACCTTCATCACGGCGATGCCGGCGCCAATCGATTCCAGGATAGACACGCTCGTGACTGTGGTGGCTTAAGCCCTGCGTCGACGGTAAGCGATGTCGATGTAGAGCCCGCAGGGTGCACATTGCTGTCTGTATGGAACAGCATCTGCCATTTGCCTCCAACTGTAGCATACTCGTACGGTAGGTGTCGTATGTAGTCGTACGTCTCGCACCGTTGGTATCGATCCTGCCCCTCGAACGGTCGAATCATAGATGGAAATTGCAACAACCGCGCCCCATTACGCGCGCACAGTGTCAGTTCAGTCTCCAACAAGACCACGGTTCTACGATTCCTCCGCTCTGTCTCCTGCGCCATATTCAAGCCGTCACTGCATAAAACACCAACAAGATCAACATCAACATCAACAGCAACAACAGCAGCAGCAACAGCAGTTCGTTCGCGTATGCATAGCTCGGAAAAATATTCCTTCAAGTTCAAGCCAACGGCTGTGCAACCTGCAGGGATCGAGCAAAGATCAAACCGCACGGCGTCTTCCGTTCGCTTATTTATCCAGCAGCTTCCAGCTTGCTTGGCTGGGCAGTGGGCAGTGGGCAGTGGGCCAGGCATTCGAATTTCGAATGCCATGGTGAGCTATAAATTATCTGCGTGCATAACTATCATAATACATGCACGAGGGGATTGGGGTGAAGATAACTACCGGTATGCGTGTAGTCTACTAACTGGTTTGCAATGGAATAGAATGGAGGAAAGGTGTAGAGTATGTTGGTAAGTAACCTCTTGAGTATAAACACCCGATCGATGGACGTTAGAGTCTGTACAGAATCACACCACGATCGCCCGTAGGCCGTAGCGATCATACTCTACCCAGATAGCCCCGGTTTGTGAAGCGAGAAGCGCGATGCGCGGCCTCGACAATCGGACCGGCCTCGACAATCGGACCGGCCTGACCGAATCGATGCGTATCGGATCCAAAGCCACAGGTCGGTTGTGTGACGGCGTCCCGCATGCAGGACGCTCTAAGCTTTCTAACTTTTCTAACTACCGCTCTGCCCTGTCCTGCCCTCGAGCGGGAGGGCGCAAGTTGCAAGTTGCCACAGACTTCAAAGTTCACGGAACGAGGCCTCGAGCCCACGGCGCCACGCAAGAGCGAACGCGAAAGCGAGAATGATTATCTATGCGCGGGCAGCTGGTTTCGGTCCGAACGAGCGAACGAACGAGCGTCGAGCGGCCGGGCGGGCGGGTGATTGCCCAGGGGCGTCGCCTGTGTTTTGCTTTGCTATAGCAATTCTAGGTGCCGACAGGTGTTAACTACTAGCCGCTTCCGAAAGCTCGCCACTGGGCTGCCGCACACACGGCGCACACACGGCCTCGGCGCAGAAATGCCTCATCCGTCGTCCTCTTGGAGACGGGAGTCCTTGACGCTTTCGAAGTCATGTACATATGTAGGCTGTGTAATGTGCATAGCATCCATCAGCTCCGCTTTTGGGCTTGACTTCAGGGCTTCGAGAGTTGAGATGCAAGAGTCAAGACTATGCGATTTGCGATATGCGAGCTGCAAGCCGCGAGCTGGCGGGTGGTTGATGGCTTTGAGACTTGTAGTGTTCTCCAGAGTCCAGTCCGTCCGTCTTGAGCCTTGGGCGGGATTGAACTGTATCTTGGCAATCCGTCCGGCGGCAGTGTTCGGATGGACTGGACCAAAAGAAATCGACGGCAGAACGGACTGCAGTCGACAGTCCGCATCCAGTCCACGAAATCTGTGGACTGGACGGACTACTTTTACGCAGTCCGGACTGGACTATGTCGAACACTGGAGACGTGTGGACCTATCACCTATTTGTGAGGCTTGCGAGTGCAGCGGAAGTTGGAACATGCGTCGATTTTCTCTTTCTCCAAGCCTGTGTGTACCGGCATTGGTGTCACGAAGGATTGCCACGCCATGAACCAACTGGTAGGCTAGTACATAAATACCGATATGTCTCAGTTTCGAAGTCGATGAGACGATTCCACCAGGCTTTCAAGAATACCGATACCCCTCACACACTTGTTCGAGTGTCGAATGTCGAGTCTGGATTCGGGACAACATGCGCGGCTTCGTCCAGCGGCCAGTCTGGTGGGATAACATATCCCTAGGGTACAAGGAATGCGGCAAGCCACAGATAAGTAAATGCGAGCCTGCCTGTAAACTGGCTCCTGACACAAAATGCGGCTCATTTGCTGTGGTAATTCAGGCTTCTGCTAGTAGATTGGCCTAAGCTGAGGCAATAGGCGGTTGGTAGTAATTGCGGCCAGTTTATGATGGCCAAATTGGGCTCTTATACTAAATATGGCTGTCGATACTCAATGTGTCGATTGGAGAGGAGCCTAATTTGGCGTTGAGGTGTAAACTGGCGATCGGCAGTAAATTCAATATCTCTCCAACACTCTCTTCGGGCATCCGTAGCTAAAAAGATACCTTGCCGCTCATTAGGCTTCCGGCTCGAGTGATGAATAGGCTTCGATTTATAAATGGAGCATTTTCTCCTTATTCGCCGACCCCGCCATGCCCACTACTAACCACATTCGCTTCTTCCCGCCGACGGCTATTCCATCACTTCCTCATCTCGCTGACAACTCCTCCTCTCCTCCCCTCTCTAACAGCTCCTCCTTCCCTTCATCCCCTCGCCCACAACTCCTCCATCGCACCCCCCCGGTGCCTCGCTGACAGCTATTCCATCACTTCCTCATCTCACCTACTAACGCTCTCCCATTACAGACAGCTCCCTCCTCTCGCAGACGGCTCCTCCTACAATTCCTCCACTTCCTCCTCTAACCCACAGCTCCTCCATCATTGAGTCCTCTCGCTGACAGCTCCTCCTCCTCCCGCCGCAACTCCTCCTCCCGCCGCAACTCCTCTCGCTCCTCATCTTGCTAACAGCTCATCCGCTTACTAACGGCTCCTCCTCTCGCTTCCACATGGCGTCGATAGCTCCTCCATCACTGTCGTTCACTCTCTCACAGTCTCTGGTCTTCCCACAGTAAGTACGTATTGCGCTCCTAGACCTAGCTCGCTGCAGATACCTCACTGCCATCGCCGGTACTGACGGACTGTCTATTCCGCACGCCGGCCATGTTGAATTTGTGTCAAGGTACCCGGGTGAATGCCGGAGAGCGGGGAGAGCAAGGAGAGCGGAGAGGCGGGGAGAGGCGGGTTCCGGTTTGCATAGGCGCGGAGGGGCGGAGGGGCGGATATATATGGGGTTAGCAGCAGTAGCTATCATACATAGAATCACAGCAATTTCAATCAGCAGTTCGTGCTCGTGTGATTGTTGAGGTCAGCCATATAAGCTCCTAAAAGCCGTATGAGTGACAGCGCCCTTTTAGAGCCCTTGTACGTAGAGCCTTTTTAGACTATAGAGCCCTTTAAGACTATGGAGCCCTTTAATAGCCGGATTAGGGCCTTTTTAGGAGCCCTTTTAGAGCCGTTTGACTGTCATCCTCCCAGGCCGTATTAACTCGTGCCCATTTAGTTAATACGGCAGTGCCGCATTCCTTGTACCCTAGGGTATAGCTGGGTGAGGAATCACGTACGACTTTGTGGATCGTTCGTTCACTCGTTCGTTAGTTCGCTGCGGCTAATGCCCGGCGAAGGACTGGCAGCCCTCAGCCTTCCGGTCCCCGATGGAGGGTGCAATCCATCCTGGCTGAAAATCAGGTACTGGTAGGTATGTGCTAAAGACAGGTCAACGGAATGGTACTCTGAACTTAACCCCCGCGTTTGGCAAATTATTGTCGAACAGTCGAACTTCGAAGTGTGTATCATACATACAGCTACCGAACAGTCCATGCGGGTCCTGGCGTCCGCCGTCTATCCGCCCGGTTAGTCCGGCATCCGTACTCTGGCAGGCCAAAGACGGGCCGGACCCGCCGCCGCATCGACAGCCGTTTCAACTTTCAAGGTGCTCGAACTGAAGAGGAGACAATGCCTGATGTACGGAAGATTTGGACTCAGCGAGCAAACGAAATACCAACTTACAAAGACAAGAAAATCCAAGAAATGGTCAGTGTCTGTGTTTCCGCTTGGTCGGTGTTTCCACTCGAGCAGTCAACCAGTACTCTAGCTAACGGGGGGTTGCCAGGGCAAGCAAAGACTCGGGATTCAGCCCATGCCATCAATTATCACTATCGCTCCGTAACCGGCTTCCCACAACCCACCGCTCACCGTCGGCCTCGGCAACTCCTGACGATCCAGGCAAATGCAATATATTCCCTTCCCCGGCCTACCTGCTCCATATGAACTCTGGAATAGAGTAGCTAGAGTGCCGTTAGGACGATTGGCGGGACCTACTTATGTACTACCTATACCGCACATAGTAACTATGGCTGAGGTCGCCGCCAGCAGGAATATTCGTCAACGTACCTAATAGTAGTGGAGTTCCGCCAGTCGCCGGTTGGGGTGTGCCGTACTATGAGGGCCATGATGGGTTACGCCATCTCATATGAGCATCGGAGCATCGAAGGGTGTTGATTTTCCGCCGCCGCCCGCTTCACTCCACTTCACTCCGCGCAGGTTACAGAGCGGAGGGATGCAGACACGGTAGGGATTGATATCGAACCGAACCGACCACAACCGGGCCGCCCAGTAACCGTGAAAGCGTGCTCCGTCGGCAGAGGTCCCAACTATGGCCCGCCGAGCGACATATATATCGTCCCTGCGGGATATTTGGAATTCAGTTTTTGTTTCGCGTCTGGTCTGGTCTGGTCTTTCCGTTCGATTCGATTCGATCCGCAGTTCACACAGACTCACCCGCAGACATTTGGCATCTCGATAGCGACAGACAGAAAATGCGGGGATTGACACAGGCGTTGGGCTGCTTGCTCCTTTTCCTCATGGCGGTTGCGGCCGCAAGTTCCGCCGTTGGTGTGTTGTCGGCGGGAGCGAGAGGTGGTGGAGTCGAGACTGACAGACCACACACAGCTGTGGCCGAAGCCGAATCTAGTATCGTCATCGAACGTCCGTTTACATCCACCCATCCCCCCAGATCCAGCCGACTAACAACCATACACACAGGCCAGACACCCAGCGCCAACCGCCTCGTCGGCGTCGGCATAGCCGTATACGACCTCTCCCGAGCCTACGCCTTCTACACCACGGTGATGGGAATGAAGCCGCTAACAACCTACAACACGAGCACGTACGACGAGATAGTACTATACTACCCGAACACGACGACCGCATCACTAGTGCTGATGTCATGGCACGACGGGCGTGGCCCCTCTCAGACCACGCCCGTGCCGGTGAAAGTCGTCTTCTTCGTGCGCGACCCGCGGGGATTGGCGCGGCGGATCCGCGATGCCGGGCTGCAGGTCACGAGTACGCCCGGCAGGTTCACGACGGGGTTCGCGAGGGACCCGGACGGGTACACGGTCGAGATCAATAATGTTGCCGCGCTGGAGACGGACGCGGACGCGGTGTTGGCCGCTGTCGGCATTGGCATGCAGGACTTGCCGACGGGGCTCAAGTTCTACCAGGAGGCGGTCGGGATGGAGAGGCAGAGTACGCTGAGGCTTGGTGGCTGGGACGAACATATACTGAATTTTCCGGGGGCGGAGGGGTCCTCGCTGGTGCTGGTTAATTGGCATGATGGCAAGACGAGGGAGTATAAGGATGTGCCCGTCAAGCTCGTGTTTGGCCTGCAGGATCCGGTCGCGTTCGCGAAAAATCTGGCGGTGAAGGGCGGGACGGTGATCCAGGAGCCGGCGCCGAGACCGGAGGTTGGCGGCGCGACGGTCGGGTTCGGACGGGACCTGATGGGATACTTGTTGGAGATGGTCAAGTTGAGTCAGCTTGGGGGTAGTACCGCGAGCAATGCCACCAAGCTATGAGCTTGGACGGATGGAACCGTCGTTTTGTATGTAGGTATGTACTCAATGTTGCTGGATGATTTGAGCCGTGCTCTAGCGACTTACGATACGTCAAGTTGTAAGCATAAATAGTATTCAACGGTCCTCATGACTCGATAAAGGTTGCAAAAAATCGGAAAATCGGAAAATCTATTAACTCGCTCACCATGCTACCTATTAATCTCGACTCTAGAGAATAAACAAGCCCCCTCCATCACCAACTTCCGCGCTCCCAGGTGGCCGGCGTCAAGCCACAACTCTGCTCCCAAAAACTGGCAATATCGTCAATCTCGTCGGGTATCTAGAACTGTAAGTCCAAGTAACGTTCGGGAATCGGGAATTAACGAACCTTTATTCTATGCGGAAGCCCGCGGTACCTCCTCCACACCACATCCATGCCCAGCGCCTTGAGGCCCCCGTAGATCTCCCTCCCAACCAGGTACTTGACCACCTCATCCGAATCTCCGTGCCCGAGCCACGCCGGGGTCTTCAGCACCTGGGAAACGACCTCCTTCTCGAACGCATCCTGGCCCAGTACCCGCTCCCGTAGCGCACCCAGCACCCTTGTCCTCTCCCGCAGCTTGAAGGCCTCATCAGCATCCCAGATCGGCACGTCAACATCCCTAGTTCCCGTCACCACCGCGCCGACCGGCATCCCTTTCCTTGCCAGCTCCCTCCTGATCTCGAGCGCGAACGGCAACCACCCGCTGAGCCCGAGCACACCTCCCAGTCTCCTCCCACCCAGCAGCAGCGCCACGAGCGCCACCGCCGCGCCCTGGCTCAGCCCCCCAAGCAAAATATTCTCCGGCGGGATGCCGGCGGCGACCTCGTCCTCGATCAGCGCATGGATGTGCTCGACGACGCCGCGCAGGCCCTCGAGCTGCGTCGGCGTGTACGACTTTGGGTCCGTGCCATTATAAAAGTCGAACCACTGCGCGATGTGGCGGCGGAACGTGCACGAGAACGTTTCCGACGGGGTCGGGAACACGAGTTTTAGGGTTGGGTATCGGCGCGAGGCGGTGAGGTCCGCGGTGAACGCGGGCCCGAACACCGACGCACTGTCGCCGCGCCCGTGGAGGAAGATCAAAGTGTGGGTGTGGTCCGTCTTTGCGGGGATCGTCAGCGGCGTCAGGAACGCCGGCGGCTGCTGCTTGCTGGTCGACATGGCAGATCGTGTGCTGGCGGGGATGTTTTTGTGGTGGGGGGATTCGGGGATAAACCGAACAGGGAGTGGGATCAGCGGGCGGTCGAGCAGCTGGCTGCTGGGGTGTAAATGTAGTCGGTCGATGCGGGATGCGGGGTACCCTGGATGACGTAGGGGCAAAGGACTGTCGTGCGAAGCCTGTTGGATCGCTGGACCGGCCATGGCGCCAAGTAAGTAACGTGTACTCTAATTTCGATTAAGCGAGCCCGAATACGAATGAGCGGGGAATTCAGGATCCTCCGAAAGCATATCTATCTCCGTGTCTCTGATGGGCTGGCTGTCCAAAGGCTTCGTCGAAGGCCGACTTGCATATTCAAAGGACCGGCCACTGGTCATATTCTTTCCCGCGGCATCGATTCGATATTCTTGTTCAGGGCCACCGTCCCATAAACCACGAGGAGCTATTCACGCATTCTCCGTCGATCCAGATGGATGAATTAGGTGATTTGATTTCACATGGGGTGGTTCTATCCTCAAAAGCTCTTCTCTTCTTCATATGTACATATGTATATTGATTGGGCCATTCCTTTTGCTTTTTCCATCTCCCCTCGGCCAACTTGCACAGCTCGATTGCATCCTTCACGTATATACTAGCTTTGCTTTCGGACTGAAACTGGCATCGAGGTGTCGAGTTTCTATGATATGGTATTTCCCCGATCTCCGAGACTTCGTCATATGGGAGCTTTACCGGCAAAGCGCCGGGCTCGAATTGGTCTGGTCTTGTACATGCATACACCACTCCATCAACAACATGCCTTGCATCTGTTCCACCGGTAGCGACCCGAACACTCCCTGTGTACCAATTATCCCCTCGTCCTTTACTCCTCGAAACCAACTTCTGACTTCCGACTCGAACCCGATTGAGCACGTGCGCAGCTTGGCTTTCTGCACGCTGCGATGACTGTTCGGAGCCGAGAAGGAATCGATTGGCCCGGGCAAAGTCCTCATGCATGCAGGAGTACTGAGTACTTATGCACCGCAGTAACGTGCTTTGGGGGCCGATCTTTATTCTGACATCGGAACTTGGCAGCAAACACGCAGAGTGACGGCCGATGATCCTCGTAAGCGGTGGCGATAAGTTTCGGTGGCCCTAGTTCTCGCTACCACAGTTGTACTCTGCTTAGGGGCGTGTGCCGTGCGGGGACGTTGCGGGAAGCTTGGCGGTCTCGCTCCCTCGCTCGCTCGTGCTTGGAGGCGTCCCTGCTTGCTTTGTGCGAGCTCACGGCACACGGCTCCCCATTATACGGGTTCTCTGGGCACCATCTACAGCCCGTCTCTTAGTCTATTCTGACGACGGCCCAAGCTTCAACCAACTATTGATATTGCCGGAACCCGCATCCATGCACGGGTCTTTCCCAACAGCGCCGATAAGGCCGAAGGGTAATTGGTTTCTATCCAAAAGTGTCGCCAACACTGAACTTGGGCGCTTCTGAGACCACAGTGTTAAGGTCCGATCGGGCAGACTGCGCGCGGTTAGGTATGTATCAGCCGCGGAGAGTACTTTCCAACTCTATCCAGGTCTTCCCAGCATCCCCCAGCAACCATCCAGATAGGAAACCCTGCAAAGTGACATTTCAGCCGGATATGACATACATGATGTACCTACTCTATATACTTCGACCGGAAACTCGAGCAGCCGAGCTCCTTTTCCGGTTCTCAGCTCACTGGAACATGGAGGCTTCACCCTCGGACAGAGTCCATTATCTCCATCGCCTCTGCATAGCCCTTTCACCCTCAACTTTTTGCTCCCTACTCTCAGTTACACCTCAGCCCCCATGGACCCTGCTAAACACGAATCCATCTCCTCCACCTCACGCCCGGAAACCCCGGTGCGCAGGCAAGCAACAAGCGCTGGCGATTGCAGCGGAGGCGGAGTGGTCGCGCAGTGCTGCTTCCGCCCCGAAGTCATACTGCAGCGCACACGGAGCGAGACGATCCACAAGCGGGTTGAGCTCAGCACCAGCTCTTACTCCTCACGTACGCCGACCGCAGCGGATGCGGAAACCTACGATACATCCCTCCTGGGGACTTTCTCGAGCATGACGGTCAAGAGGAAGAGGGTGGATTGTGGCGTAGAGGATGCGAAGGAGGTAGTGGAGGAGGGTGAGCGGACCACGAGGTATCATCGGCGGCGGCGGCATCCCGGCGGGTTATTGCCGCCGGGGAAGCGCAGGAATCGGGAGAAGAGGAAGGCAGCCGGGCAACAAGGGAAGGCCGAGAGCGACAGGCCGAGAAAGAAACAGTGGGAGGGAGTCGAATCGGCGGAGACGAAAGCCGCCACCGAAAATCCGTAGACCGGCCGGCCAGCCCGCACTCTACGCCCCGGGGTTAAGAACACGAATAAGCCCGCCTGTGTATGGCTCGGTTGCGTCGTGTCGTCTTTTGCTGCGGTTCGGTGTTTGCGTGTGCGCCTACGACGCCTGCACGTACCGGCGCGGAGTTGCGGTGTTGGTTACACACACCTTGCCCCGGACTTTATTTCAGGCCAACACGGGGTTTAGCGGGGTCGGGTAGATTGGGTGGCCGATTGCGCCTGCGGCCTACGTCCTCCACCTCCGGGCATGCCGGAGCTATCGTTTTCGGAGTCGTGGTGATGCCGATAATGAGTGCGAGGACGTCACCACCAACATATTTCTGAAGAGTCATTGGTATCTATCGACAGAATATAAATGGCCTGGTGATCCGGAACGAGAGGAGGAACACATCAACCTCAGCCGCAGCAAGCATACGAACCACCACACAAGACCACCACCTCACCTCCAGCCTCTAAATCTCCACTCCCCAACCCCAAAACCACCATGACCTCAGTCCAGCACCTCGCCTTCTTCGGCGCCACCGGCGGTTGCGCGCTAAACGCACTGATCCACTCTCTTACCGTGGGGCACATCTGCACCGCTTTGGCCCGCACCCCCTCCAAGCTGATCACACTACTCACCGCGGCCGCCGCGCCCACCGAGAACCTAACCATCATCCCGGGGGACATCGACACGCCATCGGCGGTAGCCGACACACTCTCCAACGCCACAACGGTGATCTTCGGCGTGGGCGGGGCACCCGCATTCTCGCCGAACCCGCTCACGTTCTTCATGACGCTGAGCGACCCTACGATCTGCGAGCGGGGGATCACGCAGGTGCTCTCGGCGCTGCGCGCTCGCGCGCAGCGCCCCCTGGTCTGCGTCATCTCCACTACCGGCCTGGGCGACAAGAGCGATCTGCCGCTCGCCATGCGGCCGCTGTACAAAGCTCTCGATGTCCCGCATAGGGATAAGCGCGGCATGGAGGAGCTGGTGGTTAAAGCGGAGCAGGAGGGGGTCCTGGAAGCGTATGTCATCGTTAGGCCCGCGCTGTTGACCGATGGTGAGAAGACGGCGAAGCTCAGGGCCGGGTATAGGGGTAGGGCGAAGACGGGTGGAGGCTGGGGGGATGTCCAGGGCGAGGCTGTTGGATGCACCGTCAGCAGGAGGGATGTGGGCCACTGGATCTTTGAGGAGGTCGTGCAGGGACGCGGCGGCGAGTGGAAGGGACACGGTGTGAGTCTGGCGTATTAGGCGGGCCATCATGAAGGATGGGGAGTTAGGAGTTTGCGATGCGGTTTTGCGACTATGTCACCATGGAAGGGTCTTTTTTTTGTTTTATGTCTGATTCGATTCGAGGTTCTTCAATACAAAAAGTAATCAATAATCGTTGTGTCGCTGGTTTTATAGTGTCCCTGCTTGTGATTCCAGTATTGTGACCTACTGAAAGTCACGATCGCTTTGGCACCGCAGTACTCTCTTCCAGTCGACGGTGGGGTCTGGGGCCAATTAACAACGGTGTTGCACAATGTCTCACTCGCACTCGACCACGACTTCGGAGTCTCGGACCCGTGGATTGCCGACTGTCCAATCAATTATCAGCCGCCGGAAGCGACCCATAGCCTCATCACCGCGAGAAAGTGGCTCGGGGCTCTACCGGATCTGGAGACACCATGCGCGGTGGAAGCAGTGGACGGTGCACGTGGTGTCCCGTGTGTACGTAAATACACTGTATGTAGATATCACGGCCGAGGGAACATGCTGTTGGCTCGTTCAACGCAGGCAGGGTTGTGGTGGAGCTTGTCCGCCAAGGGTGGCACCAACCACTTTATAATAATCGAATTCACATTTCCAGCACGAAAAAAAACCCCGTGTGGTCTAATGGTCTGGTACCGGGGCCATGCAATCGGCGAGGGGAGCTGAGGGAAAATTACGGGTTCAACCCAGGTATAAAATCTTCCTATTCAGCTCTTGTGATTTCCAAGCCACCCGCCGGGGGTGGTGACAGTTTTTGTTTTATTTTTGGCAAGACGGGTGGAGCACAGGAAGTCACTCGGTCATAACTATCACGTGACACCCCTGCGCTGCTGGTTTTTTTTCCCCAATCATCCCTTAGTAGATCATGGCAGATTAAATAACTGTCTTCAAATGGCTGTCACTGACAGCTGGCCGCGAGCTCGATACCGGTTCCTTGTTGCTTTCTGCCCAGCCCTCCCCGTGAGTCAGCCCTCTCCGCTCCTTGCGCTGCCGGCTGTGGAGGCGAGAACCCCCACCTATGATGAACTTCAACATCGATAGAAGGGAGAAAGCAAAACGAACGGCCAGGAACTCCGTTCCCCTATACAGGAGGCAAGACGATATAAAGATGTATCAAGACTGGAAGATGGGTCGGCGGGCTCCTTAGGGTACAAGCAGTGATGAATCACGTATTGACTGTAGTATAGATTACACTAAATGCAAATCAAGGGGTATGACAGGGTACGGCGGCCGGGTGACGGCTCGGCTGGGTAGCTGGCGCATCCAAGTTCCTATGTACGCGCACTCACGGTCAAAGCCAACGTTTTACGCTCGTGGGGGGGGTGGGGGGGGGGGGGGGGGGGGGGGGGTTGCTTGCTACAGGTAACAGGAACGTCGAGCTGTATGGGGTTTCCCCTCTCGATGACAGGCTGACACCGACTCCCGACTCCCGATGGGTTTCAGAGGCGTCATGTCTCGTTAGAGTAGTTACCCCTCACCTTCACCCCACCCCACCCACCCTACCCCCGCATTACCGGCTCGCATGTCTCTCGATGTCATCTATTTTCCTCCCCCGCTTCCAGCAGCCACCTTCCTTTTAGTGCCCCCCCAATCAGAATAGCGGGCCTTCTCTGGTGGCACGAGTGATAGCCCATGGAACGCAGTACCCCGTAACCATCCGAGGTTGCAGGTTGCAAGGTGGGCTAGAGGGAGCAGCTGAATGGCTGTTGTCGTATCGATTGGAATTGGAACGTGTTGGAACGTGCTGGAACGTGTTGTAACGTGTTGGGGCGTGTTGGTTGGGGTGACTCGAAATTCGAATGGCTGTTGTCACTCTAGTTGGAGTCTTGGAGTCTTGGAGATGCGTATCAGAGTATGGGCATGCTGCTGCTTGAAGATGGCTCTCTGCATGAAGAGGCCTGCCTGCCCAGTGCCCGATGCCCAATGTGCAGTGAGTGCTGTTTGAGTTCCGCAGCACGTCGCACCGGGGGGATTGTCCGGCCGTGTGCGAGTAAGCATGTTTACGGTAATGGTCAGTTGAATGTTGATAACGGAAATGGTATGGCCATTAGTTTAAGTTATCGCTGAGTGGCGGTTTCTACCCGCATCTGTAAGTAAATACTTGGTGTGGTCCGTGTGGTGTGGTGGGATTCTGGATCGCAAAGCTGCTTTCGGGCCTCTAATAGTTACGCGCTGTGTTCTCGTGGTCACTATGCGCTGGCGGATACACCTGGACCTAGTCCCACTGGACTCCTCTAGTTATCGGTAATAAAAGATCCACTGACTGTATCATGTATGATGTATCACGTATGTACTCCTGTGGCGATGTGCCGAGCACAGGTAGGTATACATATGGCCCAAGGGAATCCCGAAACTCCTCCGAAACTCCTCCGACGGCCTAACGCCGATGCGATCCTAAACGCCGAGGGCCACATCCCGATATACACCACCTATATATGTACGAATCATTCGATGGTGCATTTCCCAGGCACTTATGTACGTAACGAAAAATAAAACGCAAGCCTAAGTACATAACGCCGCTACCATCCCCCCTCCCGCCCCCCTCTCAAAAAAACCAACAATCGTCTACGGAAACGGTACATACAGAAGATTCTGCCAGAAGTTATCCGCCTCCAAGCCGTCCATCATTCCCGTCCCGAACTGTACCGTCGTGTCCAGTCCGTGGGTAACCACCATCGGGTCCGGCAGCGGCGCGGCCAGAATCTCTTCCAACTCTCGAGTCGACAGGATGCTGGTGTTGATGGGCGCGAATCCATTACAATTACCAGTGCTATTATTCGAAAAGCCCTCCACCGGCAACTCCAGCCACCCGTCGCTATCGCTATTCGCCAGCGACGAGCTAGGGGAGTGCGAGCTCTGATGAGTATATTTCGCGGAGGAGAAAGAGTTCGCGCTGTCGGTGGGCGACATGGAGAATGCATTTCGCATGCGGAGGTGCTGGGACGCCGCGTTCGACGACTCGGCTTTCTTGATCAGCAAGCTGAGGATTGTTGCGCCCTTTTCGGCGAGCTTGACGCGGCGCCCGAGACGCTCCATACGCTTCTGCCCCTCGCGGATGGAGGCGAGGGCGATGTCGAGAAGGTCTTGCGAGAGCGAGAGCGGCTGCGTGATGATGATCGCCGCGATCAGGACCGCGGGATCGAAGGTGAAGAAGTTGAGCGTGTAGATGGTGTGGTGGTGCTCTCGCGTGGCTTCCAGCAGCCGCTGTTGCGACTCGAGCACGGATATTCCGGCACGCACGATCTCGATTCGGCTCTTCTGCCGCGTGAAGACGAAGGGGCGGTGAAGGCCTACGATCAGGCTGTATGTCGAGCATCGAAGCAGTTCGGCCTGGGCGCGCAGAAACACAGTGTTCGGTCCGCCGTCGTGGCTGGTGTCCCGGTTCGAGACGGCGAGGCCGGGAGGATAGCACTCGATGATCGACTCAATACTGAACTGGAGCCGGTCGGTCCCCTCGAAGCTGTGCGACATGTTCTTGGCCGATTCCATCTGCAAGTCGTCGATCTCATTAATCATGTGGGCCAGCTGGTAGTCGAGGAGGCGCTGGGTGAACTGCGAAGGGGGGTCAAGTGGGCTTCGGGGGACGGGAGGCGTGCGGGTTATGTCATTGGGGATATTGCAGTCGAGCGGTGGGGTAACGGTGCAGTGTCGGTCGTTTATCAGGGTTGGTCGACCTAGAATCATGCTCATGAAGCTGACAGAGTTTGTTCGTTAGGATTGCTCACATCGATGGAGCTGTATGTAGTAGAAACTCACCGATCCCACACGTATAGGTTCGTCCATACTCTCTTCTCGATCTCACGCTGCCACAGACTGGCAACATTCTCGACACCACCATTATAGGTCCGCGGCTGCTGGCTGTGCAGACCGAGCTCCTGCGCCTCGCGAATCGACTGGCCCAGCGCGTGCCAGGACTCGATAGCGCGTCCCTCGCTTTTGAGCCACGACGCGCGCAGAAACCACTGCTGGACGCGCGACAACGTAGCCTGATACGGTGCCAGAAGCGTCGCCAATTCGCACGCAGAGTTGCTGTACGCGATCGACAGCGATCGAAAATCCTCCTTCCCGAGGATATTCAGCTGCGACATCTGCTTGTAGTGTTCACGCGGCAGCATCTGCAGTGCCACAGCACACATTTGCAACAGCAACACCGGGAACTGCGATAATGCCCTTCGCCGCTCGCCATCGCCCGACTTGCCGTGCGACGGCACCGGAGGTGTCTTGGACGTGCAGCGCTCGTACCACTCCTCGAGCAGCTGACAGAACGAGCCTGGGTGCACACACCAGTATATCCAGTTGCACTCGGCGAAGAACACCTTGACGAGGAGCATGGTGTATGGCCGCGGGGGAATGGTGGTGATGATGCGGTTGTAATTCTGCAGCTCGGCCTGTTCGGCATTGTCCAGCACGGGCTCCGGTCTCCACGGACCGTCCTCAAGATCCAACTGTTCGGTCAGCTACGGTCCGGCATCCTCCCGCAACAAAAAAGAAAGAGAAAAAAGAAAGAAAACAAACCTTCTCGAGCACATCCACAGCGCTGCACCCACGATTCCGCACGTACCCGAAGGAACCGGTAACTTCCGCGCTGGCCAGGATAGCCGATGTCGTTGTCGCCGTCGAATCGATAGGGCTCACACTAGTCGGCGACGAACTGTCCGACCCTCGGCGGGCCGGTTTAGTCTCGTACTGACAGAGATGGCTTGCCGATCGCAGGGTGCAGTTTCCACACGGCAGCTGTCTATCGCACTACGCGTCGTCAGTGTTTCCAGCGTTCCAAGACGAGAGGAATCGTTGTACTTTCTGTTTCCGCCTGTGGCATTCGGTACACGAAATGATGGGGCGTTGACGCTTCCGCTTCTTTGCCTGGGTCTCGGGCGACGACGACATTGTGGGAGTTGGTGATCGTTATGTTGGGTGTTTCCGGTTGAGTGTCTCTGGGCGTGTATGACGTCGGGGGAGGGAGTGGAGGTGGGAATGGAGTCCAGGTAGCGATTGAGAGAGCACCAGGGCCCAACAAGGTATTTATCCGATTGCTGGTGTAGCTATGGGTCGCGGTGATTCTTTCGTTCGCGAGCTTCGCCACCTGCGGAATTATTGAAGACTGCCGAAAGAGGGGTTGTATCGTTTCGTACGCCTAATGAAGTGGCAGGGGTAATCTGCACCATGGTACGGTAGTGACGGGATGTATCTGGGGGTGGGGGGGATGGATGAAGCACCCGTTTCCGTTACAATGGCCAGCATTCAGGTGATTGGTATTGGTGATGGTGATGGAAGGAGAATAACCGATTCCTGGATAAATAAGCACTCACTGAGCACTCCCAGCAACTGCAGAAGCCCGACTGCTTCGTTTGATGGCATTAACTGCATGTACATCCCGATCAAGTGTCGTGGTATTATGGCAAGGACATATATGACGGCTGTCATTCTAGAACTCTTCTGGGGCTGAGTCAGGAATGGCCACGTTGAGAGTTGACCCTGCGCATCGATACGAGATTCGGAGTGCAGTAGTTACGATGCGTAGGCTTGTCCAGGTAGGCAGGAAGCTAGTTGGCCAGTAGGAAAGGCGTTTTGTTTTTTGTTTTTTTTGTTGCCCACAGCGAGAGCGCAGGCTGGCGGACTACTATTCCTTCGATAGCCTGTTGATCAGGGCTTCGAATGTGGTTTGCATCGGGGCCATCGGGGCCTCTGAATTTCATGCCCGCAGTCGAGATGTCGACACTGGCTGAACCGTACGTACATACGGCTAAACACGGCCACCGGGAGACCAACAAGTTCCACCATGGACGTCTTGAATGCTCGGGAAGAACCAAAACCGGGGGACCCAATACCGGTTGGTGAAGCTCCGGATGAGCCTAAGGGATCCTGTTCTGATTGCAGGAGGTAAAGCTCCAGATGGGCCGAAGAGGTCCTGTTCTAATTACAGTAGCTATTGACTATCTAGCTAGCAGTTCATTGACCCGGAGATCCGCCGAATCTTTTCTTCTTCTTCTTTTTCTTCTTCTTCATGGTCTACTGCGCGTGGAGGTCTTATGTACTCTACATAAGGTGGGGGCATCCGAACCCCATGCATGCTGCAGCTTTTTTACACCAGAGGCTAGGACGGTGCTACAAATGCCAGTGTCCCTCGACCAACCACCGGACTCTCCGGCTTTGGGCCGGTTTTCTGTAGGCATTCGTCTCGAGCTCGACCAGCTCCCCCCTAACTAAACCACGGACGTCAGGTGACCGTGGAGTCCGATCAAGGAGGATGATGGTTAGTTTTGGGCGACAATATCCACCGGATTGTCCGCGGGGCCACAGCCATGGTCCCGGTCCAATGGCATCACCACTCGAACCAAGCAGCTGCGTAGTTGACGCCTATATACAATGTACCCTACAGACCGGCATACGGTTCTATGTACCATACAGTATTCCCTACCGAAAGAACGTGCGCGGTACGGCCGGGGATATCACCGTATCGAACCCATGCCGGCTAGGTAGAGTACATACCAATGTTACCACCCACTGCAGAATGGTATCGAGCAGCCGTCAATCCAGTTAGAGTGCTGACATGGCTACTCTATGTACTCTACATTGTTCAGTACAGGGCACGGGGGGGAGGAGGGTGTGAGGTTATGGAACGTGACCAGATGTAATCCGCGCCCCAATCGCATATCCGCTGCTCGCCTAATTATCACCGGCTTGGGCTATCCACTCCGCTAAATTGGTCGCTTATTACGCGCTTATGTCGTGAGCGTCCCCAGCATCCGTCCCGTCCTCCACGGCTCCGTCCACCACCACCACAATTGCCCCGAGTGCAAATCTAGACGCTGGAATGATCTCGCCGGCCGTCCTCAAAGAGTCGGCGGCTCGACCTCCGATGCGCACGGTTCATGATCCCCATTTAACTATGGCCCGATACCCAAAGCAGCATCCGCCAGTTTCCTGGCTGGCAGGCTGACATAACGCACATAGAGTACAGTCCATGGACCGGGGCATTAAATCCCCCTCCATGCACGACGCACGATGCTCACGCACCGGGCAAATCCACAGGCCGACATGCACGATTCTCACGTCCCCCGCATACTACTGGTAGTTAGTACACATCGCCCCGACCGACCGAAATATCATATCGATCCACCCATGATATCCCTCCCACCCACATTTTTCCCGCCAACTTTAATCAATCCCGCAGATTTGCAATAGCGGCGTCAATGCCGGCTCCACCTGAAGTCGCAACGACAACAATAGCAACGACGAGGAGAACGACAGCAACAGCGACAACGACAACGACAAAAACCTGTGATTACATCGCCTGGCACCGCGTTTGCGTGAGTAGTTAGTTGGCCGGCGAAATCCTTCCTGTTTTCACCGGCCGGGTCGGACGGCATGCACCAACGAACGAAGTTACGACACCTGCGCATGTGAGAGAGGCCGAGACAGCCGTAATGCGCATCCCAGGTATTTGCCAGAACCCTCCGTATACGACTCGCTTGCGGGACTCCCTCCATCTAACTTCAGGCCGCCAGTTGATTGGTATGCATACATAGGTACATAGGCCGTTTGCCGGTGAGACTTGAATTTTTACCCCACAGAGCGAGTGCCATACGTAGGTACATACGGTAGAGTAGGTGCTTGGGTGAAGGTTTTCGGGAGTGAATCCCGATTCCATCCCCAGCAGAATTCAAGGGGTGTGGAGGAACCTTCACAATGAGCCCGGGTCGGCTGTTCGGAATGCCACAGTATGCTACCTACTATTCTTACAGTCTCACAGGTGTATCCGAGCATTCCGAACCAGCGAACGATCCACGTACGTACGTAGGTACATACAAGAGAGCATCAATGATCAGCCTGATATGGGATCTAGATTCCACCAGGTACATACATGCCTATGTGCTTACCAGTAACCATGGCCGCTTTGCCTGGTTGATGAAACTGCTTAGGGGGGTGGAGGGGGGTGTTGAATGCTTGAAATTCTCTGGCGCTGGGAACAGGGCTATTTACAGACAACAGTAAAGAACGCACCGGACGGCACTGTGTTGTGCGGCGAAATACATCACTTCGCAGCACTACCACTCCCCATACCTACATAGAGTACCTAGGGGACAAGAGACATAGCTGTCCGCTGGCCTGAACGTATATATCATACCTATCATACATGATACATAGCATACGGCTCCACGCTCCTTGGAGGCACGCACGGATTCTGACATTCTGTGCTCGGACCAAGACAGGTACACACCCCCGACCTCCTGATCCACGGCCCCGGGACCGTTGGGTATCATGTATGTATGTAGTACGTACACATTAGAAAGATAATGTGCAAAACGTTAAGCACGAGTCGACGACGGCTCCGTCGCATTTCCCCCAACGAGTCACGACGCAACGCAGGAAGCCGTATATTGCTGCATGTGTACCAATGTATGCGCTGGAAAGTTATGTATTTAGACCTTCCTTCGATCTGTATGTACATACTACATACAGATGTGATAACATGCGCATACCTACGCAGGTAGGTAGGTAGGTAGGCACCCGGGTGTACATTCCGCCATGAGACATCACTCGGCAGATCTGATGCTTCCGGGGCTTCCGAGATCCCTGGTTGGTGGGTTGGCCAGCCTGCCTGCCAACCGGCCAATAATCCTCCACTCGCACGTTAGGTTTTGAGTAAGGGACGACAGTGAAGCGGATGGAGCTCCGCCGCACCGCCTCTTCCCCACCCGGTTCGGTACCTCCACTCGCAGTGGCCGATTCGTACGCAAGCAGCAAGCTCCACCATCATGGCCGTTGTCAGCCCTAGGCTACTGGATCATTCTGGAACTGTTGATAATTGATGTACCTACTACCAAGTATGTACCTACGACGTATGTACATATGTACTTATATATAGAGCTCATCTACCATGTACCTACTCGATCAATATGATAAGATTGATGATTGATCTTTAGTCCGTTCCCCAGGACAAGTGTGATGTAGAGTACCCAGGCACTTTATCGTGGCCTTCTAGGAAATCCCGCTCCCACGACGACATCGACTTCCCCATTAGATTTCCCCGCTCATCCCTCCAATGCCACACACACCTCCACCAGCCCACTCCATCACTTCAGCCTCTGAAGGCATATTCCTTCCCTTCCCCGGGAGTCACTTTCCTACCGCTGCAGCTTATGTACAGAATTATAGTATGTACATAATGCAGCACAACGGGGCACCTCCGAGGTGGGAGCTGCAGCTGTAGTCCTTCCATGCCCGATGAGCCAGGACTATATAAATACATCTAGGAAAGCTTGAGCAGCCTGTCTCGGATTCGGCGGTAATAACGAATGGCATGGTTAATAAGTTTTGAACCGGGTTTGCACAGAATCCAGATGAGATGACCCGCTCACGCATATCAAGAAAGGTCCCAGTTAACGGCTACCGGGTCTCGGGATAGCGGAGAGGCTCATGGGCTCATGGGCTCGATTTACCCCGTCAAGGTTCCTGCCCCCCCCCGCGAGCGTTCCTGGGATGGCCGGATGGCTGGTTGGCTGGCTGGCAACTGTCCATGTGGCACCCTACCTATGTAGACACGTGATTCGGTCCTACGGACGAGCACCCAGGTAGTAGGGAGGATGCAGTACTCTACTCTGGCCAGTCCGGATGCACCAACCAACCAACCAACCAACCAACCAACCAACCACTTGGCCAAGTACGTATGCTGCAAGTGAGCCGGCGTGGCACCAATCCCTCCATCCGTTCCTGACCGCATGCATCTCTCGCATCTCACCCTCCTCCCGCCGATCCTCCTCCAGCCAAAATCTACCAAAACTGCCGTGTCGTGTACATCGAATAGTAGCAAACTTCAGCAGGTTCTCTCTTTAATTATCTTGCTCCCGCCCCCACCACACAAGCCTTGCATTGTTCTGGGCGAAGGGGGTTGGAATTGTGCAGGAGACACTTTATGATTTCCGGGGGAGGGTCGGCGCATCCTATGCTGGGCATGTCAAAACATCGCCTCTTCGCTTGCAGTGACAGTGTGTGACAGTGTGTGGAGCTTGGAGATTGTCGTTGTGGCGGTGTGGCGTTGTGGCAGCAAAGGGTGGCGAGTGAGATCGTCCCATATGTGACTAGCGTGGTGCTGGAGGGACTCTGGTGGTGAGGACCCAAAAAACGGGTGTGGAACAAAAATGTGATCAATTAGACTAGAATTCTCGGTCGATGATGATGATTTACAAGGTGATCACCCGATGAGGTCCGAACAACGACAGGAAGAACAGACGTGGTGACAACAGAAACAATTCAACGTTCAACGACCTCATTGGGTCTGCATCAGGTCTGCATCGGGTCCAGTGTTCGACCATAGTCCAGTCCGTCCGTCCTAGGCCTCGGGCCGGACTGGACTCTATCTTGGCAGTCCGTCCGGGAGCGGTGTTCAGACAGACTAGTCCAAAATGTTTTGGGGTCAGGACGGACTCCAGTCGACTGCATTCCCCTCCAGTCCTCGGAATCCATGGACGGGACGGACTACTTTTAGGCAGTCCGTCCAGTCCGGACTGCAATCCCGACCGGACTATGTCGAACACTGATCGGGTCCCACATCCATAACACGTGGGTCCCACCAGGCCTGTCCTGACAAAGTTAGTGCCAAGCTGCCTCTTGCTTCGCGCTCCTCAGTAGGTAAACCGCCGTAGCATCTGGGCCTTTCTCTTTTTTCTCTACACCCCATAGAGAGGAGTCGATCGAATCGCGGCCGTCATTTCTATTTCCTCGTTCCACGTTTATGGCCTTTCTCTCCTGCCCCCTCACCCCTAGTGGTATACCTATCAATCTCTGTCGTAGCCACCGGGTCCATATTTTTCGTGCTATCCCCGAGCCATGCTACCTATTATCGTCTTGCCCACCGTCTGAGTGGCCCCACCGCCCAGTGCTCCGCAGCAGCAGGCCAAGTTGCAACCAACCAACTGTTCTACGACTTTCAACCCTAACCGCAAACCGAGTGACAAGCCAACGCCCGAGCGATTTTGGAATCTTGGAATCTTGGATGGCAACACAAATTCCTCACTATGAACCCGTAGAAGACGGAAGATACGGAGCAAACGGCTCAGACGCTTCAAAAAAAATATAGGTAGGTAGACAAATAATACATACACGCACGGCCTGCTCCCTTCGGGCACAGCTCCAGCCTCCAGCGCCCTTCAAAGTTCAAAGTTCAAAGTTCAAACACTCCCATAGCCTAGGCTCTTGTCCTCACGAACCCAATTCCAACTCGCAGTCCAGCACCCTGTCCAGTCTGTCTACACGCCGACCAACACACCGCGCAACCAGCCGTCGACAACGCCATCGCCGCCCTCCTGCAGCCCAGCGACAACACCCACGTAGCCATCCGGCCTCACGACAGCGACGGCGCCCTTCGCGACATCAACGCTAAACGTGCCATAAACACAGCCATAGTGATCCCCGAGTACCGTCCACTCCCCCTGAGCTCTCACGCACGCCGGAAAATCCGTCCACTCGAGGTTGCCGCGCTCGCCCGGGAAGACGATTACCGTTTCTACGGCACCTTGCGGGAAGCGTGCGGGGATGTCGGCGGAGTACGCTGTGAGCAGTCCCGCAAAGTCGCCGGGGGTGGCGCGGAACGCGCTGGGAAGGAGGACTAGCAGCCGGTATACACCGGTGCTGGGCATGTCGTCTTGCAGGTCGCGCGGGTTCGCGTCCGCGAACCGCTTGGTTCGCACGTTCATCACTCGGCGTCCGGGCCAGAGCAGCCCGGACTCGCGCAGGCCATCGGTTACCACCCCGCGCACCGAGGTGTCGACTAGGGTGGAGCCAGAGTACTCGATCCCGCAGCCACTGGTGAAGCCGCCGCCAGTGCGGAAGACACGCAGGAACTCGTCGTGTGTGAGCCCGGAGGTGGTGTGGGAGGTTGTGGTGAGCGGGGTGGAGAAGAGTGTCGAGAAGGAGCGGTCGAAGGCGATTAGTTGCTCGGCTATGGAGTGGCGCTCGGATTCATAGGTGTGCAGGATCGAGCTGGGGGCCAGGCCGAGGAGGGTGTGCGCCAGTTTCCAGGAGAGGTTGTAGGCGTCCATCATGGAGACGTTCATTCCCTGGCCTGCTTTTGGCTGGGTGGTGTCAGTGTGTATACCTCGACAGTGGAGGAGAAGGGAGTAGAGGCCATACACTATGGGTATGACATGCGTCGCCAGCAATGTGCACCCTCGGCACACCTTTGCTGTCGGACATCTGGAACTTTGGCGCCACTCTCTGCCCGATCTGATATGCCGCCCACCAATCGACATGACCGAACTCGATCGTGTACGGCGCCAGCACGCGCCTCGCCTGCTCCATTATCCTCTCCAGCGTAACCTTTCCCCTGCTCTCTTTCGACGCCACCTTGTCAGCCGCCGGAGAGTCCTCCATCTGACAGTAGATGCGTGTGAGCACCGCCCCGCCGCTGATCCGCTCCCGTGGGATTATCATTATGCTCCCGGCACTGCTGTGGATCGCACAGCGCTTGCGGATGTCGGGGAACGTCGTCGTGCAGACTGTGTCGATTACGCCCCTGTACGTACCTGTCAGCGAGAGCGCGGGGACAGTGAGGGACAGTAAGATGTGCAAACCAGACGTGATCGGTCGTGTCCCCCTCCAGACTCAAACCCATCCCCTTCCGGACCGTCGAGTGCGCACCGTCCGCGCCAATGAGGTGCTTACACCTGACCACCCTCTTCTCATCACCACCAGTCTTCTGCATCGTCACCACCACCGGAAACTCCCCCTCCCCTTCCTCGAGCTGAAACTTGGTAACCTCCCATCCCCGCTGCACAGCATTACCGTGCTTCTCGAGGTCTTCATTGAGGATCCTCTCGATCCGTCCCTGGTGGATAGTGACTTCGTGCGGATACCTCGCCGCAACCGCCACATCCGGCACGAAAGCCGTCCTCTCAATCCCCTTGCCATCGCCATCCGTCGGGTTCCAAAACGCAACTTGAGCGGTCAGCACAACACAAGATGAGAATCAAGGAAGGGGGTGGAAGTACCTTCATGCATCTGACACCCCTGCGTCAACACTTCATGTGCAAGATCAAGCGACTGGAGGACCTCCAGCGTCCTCGGCTGCAAGCCATCGGCCTGGCCCGCATGGACACTCTCCGGCTTCGAGTCGACGGTGAGGACGGAGGCGAGCCCGTAGCGGGCGAGGAGAACCGACGAGAGGATCCCCGCGGGCCCGGAGCCCACGACGACTACCTCGTAATTGTCTCCCTCAGTCGGCGGCGGGGCAGCGAGCCGCGGCAGCGCAGTGAGGTGCGCGGGGTTGATCCGCGTGTCGCGAGCGTCGTGTGCGGATTCGACGAAGACTGGCATCTTGCGTGCGTGCGTGAGTGAGTGAGTGAGTGGGGCCCGGAGGGATGTAGGTTGGTGGACACGGACAGGACTGATGTTGAGGACGGTCAGCGGCTGGATGGCGCTATATACCTATTCTGTAGGTATGCACAAACATACACAGCCGCTCATTCCTACATATGTTACATGTACGCCGGCGGATGTTGATCAACACCGTATATCCATATATCCACCCGGCTCCGGGGATCGCGCACGCCTGGAAGTGCCACTGCACCTCGCCCCTCCCGTCCCCACTATGCAGCCCCGCTATGTGCTTCCCGCTGTGGACTCGTTCCAGAAGGGTGGGTGAGGGGATGGGTATAATGCCGGTATGTACCTTACCTCACCTTACATGAGTACCTTACCATACCTTTCCATATCATACCATATCATACCTCGCCATAGGGCAACATCCCACCTTGGGCCGGCCAGAGCACCGTAACTAGGTCCGTAGCTGCTGAGTACGTAGGTGCAAGTGGATGTGTAAGTGCTTAACTCAACCTGACAATACAAGTTGTAAGTTCCCAACGTCTCTCGCTTCGGAATTAAGTACATATGCACATGTGCAGGTAATAGGTGTGTGATAGAAAATGTGGGATAGGTACATACAATTTTTACCCCATAAATCCATGGGGGGTAATCACTTACATACATACGCCCCTCCCCCACTATGATGCGCATTCAAAATTTGGAAGGATCCGTCAGGTTATGTTAAGCACTTACACATCGGCAGGCTAACCGAGTGTAGAGTACCCCAGCGCACTAGTGGTGCATCCATGCGCGCGTGTGTGTGGGCGTATATGCGGGGGTGTGTGTGGTGGGGCCATAGACGGTTAACTATGGCCGAGGACCGTGCCGTGGTGGACACTCGACACGGAGTCTGGAGGATGGGAACCGACGGGTGCGGGGGAGGTCTGGGTGAGGAGGTATGACATAGCTACATCGTGTGGGTTGTGGGTTGCACGGTGGTGGGATCATGGGATTGGGGGAGGGTGTGAATCGTACCTAGAGTACCTATGGTACTACCAGTACTTCCGAAGCCGGATTTACATAGGTAGCATTGCGGTGAGCCGGATTAACTACTGGTAGGTACTGGTAGATCCGGCGAGCGCTACTTTCCCCGACTTCGTCAATTACTGGTAGTTAAGTATTTGGTAATACTTCCGAGTCCCAACATTGTCTCACCGAATTATTCCGTCGCTCGTCGTTCGTCGTGAGCCCGCCAGGCTGACAGACAGGATTCTTCCAAGCTCCGTACTCCAAAACCGCCAATCAGAGTGTCACTGTCTCACCTACGTCAGCCGAATACCAAAGCCGATCTCGGAAGTACTCGAGCCTTGCACCTTACACACACAGTTGCACAGTTGCAGTTACACAGCACTCAGCGGCGCCAGCCAGCCTCGTCTCGTCATGAAACCGTACTCGATTCTCGCTCATGTGGCTAAATGCTGAAATTTGCGGTGTGACCGAGACCGAGGCTGAGTGCGCGATATAGTAGGGCTTTGCGAAGAAACATACCATATACCGTATTGCGTGACTGGGCGGAAAGGCCGTCTCGGCAAGGTTTATTGCACGAAGCCCGTTAGGTGTCGGGCCTGCCCGTCAGGATCTGGTTCTCCTGATGGTTATGTGCGCGCCCTCTTACCAACTGTTTCACCTTCGCTAGAAGTAGTATTTGAGAAGTCTAGGTGCCAATATGTATGGAGAAGGTAGGGGACCCCGTCTTCGGTTCGTTCAGAAATACGGTGCGAGCCAAACAGGGCCTAGGTATAATAAACAGTTTGTTTATTGGAATTTGGAACAATACTCTTCCAAACCCCAGTTCATCCATCCATCGGTTCCATCGGTTCCAACTTCCAAACAGTGCAAGACTCAGGCTCAACTTAAGTTCCAAGTGTCAGCCCAAGTGCCAGCACTAAAATCCTCAACACATGTACATTAAGATGTATGTATCATACACAGAAGCGCCAACGCGGGGCAAGCCGCAAGCTTGGTACATACATAGGTAAGTAGGATGTATGTACTCCATTTCCACCTACATAGGTACTCCCGTCGAATCTCCAGAGTCAGGACATATCGTCCAGACTCCATTCCAGCCATGTCATCGGGACCCGAATACCTACCTACATATTCCCCGGACCCCGAGTGAGTGTAGTTAAGCGGTGATGGCTGTTATTTACTTGTTCTATTCTGATATACATACGATAGTTAAAGCTTCGGAGGCGATCCTCTGCGCTTGCTCTTCTGGTAGGGTAGAACCTCGGCGCCTACTCTGGCGGAGGATCACAGTCGCTCACTCCCCACTCCACTCATCACTACACTCGTCTGTGTTGCGAACGTGAATGGGATCTCCAAGAACTAGTCGTTTTTGACCTATCTCACATCCCTCGCATCCGCTACTCCCTGGTCATCCACGCAACCTCAATTCTCTACCCTTCACCAATTCACCCTCGCATCCGCTACTCCCGATTCACTCACGCAGCCTGATTCTCTACCGTTCACCCACCGTTCACCCACCACTCGACCACACATGACACCGTGGAGTGGAGTGAAGTGCGTCACCGTGAACAACAGCTAGCAGGAAAAGTCGATGTTGGTGGTCGCCATTGTCTAGTAAGGCCGCATTGCTCTCTCTCTCCCTCTCCCTCTCTCACACACCATGGATAGGAACCCCAAGGACCAATCGTTTTTTGTCTCCCTCACCTCCACCATCTCCCCCATCTCTATCCACCCAAGTCCCACGCAGCCTGGATTTGCACCATTTACTGGAAGGACCCGACGACCGAGATGGAGAGAAGTAAAGTGGTATATTCAGGTCTAGGAGGTACTCTACAGGTACAAGAGAGAGAGAGAGAGAGAGAGATAGAGAGAGATAGAGAGAGAGGGAGAAAGAAAAACTAACCTTGGACCTGCTACGGCGCTACGGCGCTACCGCACCGAATACCTATTCCAAGCACCCACCAACGGTTCTCTGAACGGCTATGTAGTGGACTGCATATTCACAGGAACTCACTCGTTCATACACCATTCACTCACGCAGCCCATTCACCCATGCAGCCTGTTTCTCTGTCGTTCACACTCACATCCACCATCTCTATTCACCCACGCAGCTGGTTCTCTGCCACTCATTGAGTTCACCCATTCACCCGCGCAGCCTCTATTCTGTTGATCTCTGCCATTCACATTCACAACAACAGCAATCCCGTAACTAAAATTACATCCCCATCCACCACCCGCCTTCCCCAATCCCCCTTCCCCATCACACCCCTTCATATATAAATGTCCATCATCTCACATCCCATATCCCACAAGATCCCACATCCCATCGCGCCGCATGCATAGAAAGTAGTAGTCAATGGAATGAGTAAAAAACAATATAGGTATCCCAAACCAGAAAACCAAATAGAAGCAAACGAAAAGATGAAAAAAAAGAGTCCCAAACAGAAAGAAAAAAGAAAAAACGAGATCGAATCGAAACCCACACTAAAAGGAGAAGAAAAAATAGTGACAAAGAAACGAAAATGAACAACCAAAGCCAAAGCAAAACCCCGGGTATATACGTACATCTACAGACCGACCGACCGACCTCGGACCGACCGACCAAGCAAACAACCAAACAAGCAACCAGAGCGCGCACACATAAGAAAAATTTCCGTACCGTAAAAGCAGATCCCACCCCGAACAAAAGAAAGAAAGAATCAAGATACACCGACTCACGCACTCAACACCTCGCTACTTTGCCGCACCCCCAGCCCCACCCTCGAGCTTACCGGGACAGTACCGGCTGACCATCTGCTTGATCTGCGGTCTTTTGATCGGCTTCGACAGGAAGCAGTCCATCCCCGACTCGTAGCACTCTTTGATGTTGCTCTCCTCGGCGAACGCCGTGAGCGAGACGATTGGCGCGCCATATCCCAGTGCGCGTATCTGCCGCGTCGCTTCGAGACCGTCCATGTTCGGCATCTGTCCTGCGTTAGCACAAGCTCCGCCAAGGAGAGGGGAACAAAGGAAAGTACGTACCTGGATATCCATAAAGATGATGTCGAACTTGGAACCCTTAGCCATGACTTCCTTGACCTTGTCGACCGCCTGGACGCCGTCTTCGGCAACGGTAATCTCTTGAACCTTCTCCAGCTGCAGCACTTTGACGACCAGTTTTTGGTTGATCTTGTTGTCCTCGACCACGAGGCAGCGGATAGTCTTATCCTCTTCCTCCTCCTCGTCCTCATCGTCCGTCTCCTGCCGCTCCTCCTCCTCGTCCTCCTCCGAAACGATCGACACCCCGGGCCCTGGCTTCTCCTCGGAATCCGAAGGTCCATCGCTGCGCATCGGAAACTCCATTCGTGTGGAACCCTTCATGGTCCCCGGCGTGGTGACCTCCACGACCGGCGTCATCATCGGTGGATGCGGTAGATGCGGTGAAGGATGCTGAGCCTGTTTTCCGGAACCGTCGTCGTCCGAATCATCGCTGGCACTCGTCATCCCTTCCTGCTGATCCGCCATCTCAAACTCGTTCATGCTCTCGGCTCTACTGGGAACAAAGAACGGTTGCGACAGGCCGACCAGGCGCATATTTCCATCCTGGGCCGTCGGCGCTTCGTGTGTGCTTCGGCCGCTGAATGCCGGACCCGAGAAGGCGCTGAGACTGCGAGTGGTGGTCTGCGCACTACGTCTACTCCGAGTGACCGATAGTGGTCGCCCGTATTGCTGGCTCGATCCGGCGGCGGATTGACTGGCCGACGAGTATTGCATCGGTATCCGCAGGCTGAAGGTGCTCCCTGCGCCCTCGAAACTCTTGAGGTGGATATCGCCGCCCATGAGCTTGCTCAGCTGTTGACAGATACTCAGTCCCAGCCCCGTACCGCCGTATTTCCGAGACAACCCCACGTCCGCCTGCACGAACGGTTCAAAGATCTTCTGTTGCATGTGCTCCGGCACTCCCGGTCCCGTATCGATGACGCGGAACTCGACCCAGTGCGTTGCGGCACTGGTCGAAGGCGAAGCGGCGCGGGATCTAGGGGCATCGGCTGCAGTCTCGGGATTCAACAACCTCTTCGATCGTGTCAGGAACGCCTTCGTCACATCCGATCCGGCATTATTAGGTCCGGATGCGGTCGAGTGCCTGGTGAACAGCGGTGGCCGCGATGGCCGAGTCTGGCTGACGGGGCTGGAAGGAGATGCCGAGGCGGACGGCGATAGTGGCGGAGTCGTTTGTGCCCAGTTGCCGGGGGTGTCCTTAAAGAAAATCGGAGAAGCCATGTAGTCCTTCTCCGTGACCTCGGTGTACGGAGTGATATCCATCGAGCCGGCATCGGGCATCGTTTCGATGACAATACGCAACATCACCGAGCCATTCTCGCCAGTGAACTTCAACGCATTGGAAATGAGGTTCTGTTCATCAGTCGGTCAGCACACTCTACTCTTCTCAGCTCATACGCACACATCTGCGAGAGAGAGAGAGAGAGAGAAAAAAAGAAGAAAAACTCACAATGATGACCTGTAGAATCCGATTGACATCGCCAACCAAGACGAAATCGATCCCATCGGATGGCATGACCTCGCAGGTAAGTTCAATCTTCCTCTCCTTGGCCTGGCTGGTAAAGAAGGCCATGACCTGGGAGATGAACTCGCGCACAAGGAACGGCCCCGTCTCCATCTTGACCTGCGCACCCCAAACCTGATTCTTCGAGAAAGTGATCAGATCTGTCAAGAGATGCAACAGCAATTCTCCACTCTTGAAGACCACACCCAGGTTTTCCCGTGCGCTCTGCGGCAGATTCGTCTCTTCCAGGACCAACGAGCACATTCCGAGGATACCGTTGAGCGGCGTCCGCAACTCGTGCGACACGTTAGCGATGAACATCGTCTTGGCCTCGTTCGCCGACTCGGCCAGGATCGTCTGTTGCTGCAACTGCTCCGTCCGCTCCTGCACCTTCTCTTCCAGCTTCTCGTACTGCCCCAACAACTCCTCCGTCATCGCGTTGAACGTATCGACCAGCGCCGTCAGCTCATCCTTGACGAAATGACGTCCCACCGGCACCTTTTGCGGGATCCGGAAGTTGTCGCGTCGGCCAGAGGAATTCCGACTCGAAACGTCGGATATGCTCTCGGCGTCCCATCCCCTGTGACCCAGCTTACCCAGCAGCCTCAACGGCGACCACCACGGCCGCTTCTTGGGTTCTTCGCGGTACTCGGGAGGTCGTCCACACAGCTTCGTGGCTTCGTGTAGTCGACGGATGGGTCGGACGGCGAAGTGCGCGATGGGGAAAGTAGTAATCTACGTCACATTAGCCAGAACTCTCCACACAATCTCTCTCCCAAGAATCCCCAAACCCACCAGTATGATGAGCACAGTGCCAAAGACGGTCCCCACCACGATCCTTCTCAGCTTATACATCGGTTCGAAAGCCTCGGAATGCGCCTGCTGCACGATGAGGAGGAACGACGAATTCGTCGCGTCGAAAGCAACGGTTGCAAACCTAACCCGGGTCCGCCGTCAGCACCATCAACGCAAGACGAAACAAGAAAACCGGTGATGCCCACCCTATCGACGACTGCTGTCCGAAGCCGTCCTTCGAGTCGAGGCTCACACTGCTGTAGTTGCCCATTCCACTCGCCGCATGCCACGCGTCGTACGCCCGCGGATACTGTTTGACCGGCTGCGTCTGGAGAACGACCTCCGGCCTGTTTTTAGGTGGTAGGATGTACTGATAATTGTCGGTGGCCCTGTTGATGGCGAACTCTCCCGTCGCATTGTTCCAGCGATTAAGCCGGTTCTCGGGCCCTAGCAGCAGCACCTGTCCCGTTTCCCCCAGTCCCATGGTATTGTTCGTCACCTCCAGCAGCGAATGTATGTTGAAGACCACCGTCATGTACCCCATGGTATCCCTCTCGCTCGGCACGGCCGTGGTATTGTTGAAGACGGGCACGGTGAGCGAAGCCACGTACACGGCGCCCGACTGGCCCTCGTCCCTCCTCTCGAAAGTCACCGGGCCCAGGAACACGCCGTCCCCATTGATGTCTTCGGGCGAGATGCCCTCCCTATCCTGCGCCGGTATCAAGCTCCTGAACTCGGGCGGTGCGCCATCGATCGCATTCCACGCGGCAACATCGTCCACGCTATCGTAGATACCCTGCTGTGTGAGATTGTACACATCCGCCAGATTCAAGAGATCATATCCCTCGATCGAGGTGATGTTCAGATAGCAACGATCGAGCGTCTTGTTCTGAACCGAAACGTACAGCACATCCGGATACGTCGAGAGGAGTATACTAAACGACTTCCCGGCAGCAGTCCAATTGCGCGTAAAGTTCTCGTGGGCCTCGGGGATGGCGAGGGCATTGACGATATTGGCGCGGGCGGCGAGCGAGCGCGCGGTGGTGGTGAATACGAGCAGCGTCTGCGATAGCTCTTTTGATTTCAACGCGGCAATGACTTCGAGGCGGGACGAGCGGAGGTCGGACACGAGGTTGTTGCTGTAGTACCACTAAAAAACGCAACGGCAATGCCGACGTCAGCTACAAAAAAAAAGTATCTACGCACAGCCACTCATCACGACGTCACGAAGAATAAGATGTCTCGGGGGTGTTCTCCGAGCCTCGGAGGAAAAAAAAATGAAAAATAAAGATAAAAATATACGGCGCGCAGTAACCGCATAGGGGAATTCAAGACGAACCGTTATGATGGCGAGTAAGCCCACCGCAAAAAGAGCCGTTATAGTGACCAAGGCCTGTTTGAGTAAAAACGATTGTCAGTCAGCGGATGGTGATCATCACCGAAAGAAAAGAGAAAAGTATTGACGTGACGTTCCGCGGATCAGAGACGGGGATTGTCCAGTTGTCATGTAGATTCTTTCTCTTTGTGGCGGGGGGACGGGGGATGGGGGGATGGGGGACGGGGGGGGAAGTGTTCTTGCATACACACAACTGATATTTCAGATTGATCTTCATGGCACTTTTGTGGTTGCGGCGGGCGACGATATCGCTACCGGAGGAAGGAAGGGACGGTGTCGAGATATGGTGGGCGATGATTGCCGAGTCGATGCTGGGTGGTCGAGGGATGTCTGGCGACGGTGGTGGAGAGTGAAGCGGCGGCGACGACGACGGCGGAGGACGTGGACTAGTCGTAGGAGGAGGAGGAGGAGGAGGAGGTGGTGGTGTTGGTGATGGGGATGGTGGGTGTTGTGGAGGAGGAGCTCTGTGGACTGCCTCTCTCTCTCTTTCGCTTTCTCTTTCTCTCCCGTGCATTCACTGCTCGTGCGGTGGAGTAGTATGGGTAAGAGTAGGAGGGGGAGGAGCAAGAGGAGTAGGGGAAGGAGGAGGAGGGGGTGGAGGAGGAACAGCACCAGCAGCAACAATAGCAGGAGGAGGAGGAGATGGTAGTGTCCGCAGTAGTAGTAGTGGCCGTGCCTGATAGTGGCCGTAGCGGGAGTGGATGTGGCCCAGGATTGTTCCGGTCCGCTGCTGCTGGTGTGGCGGTAGTGGAAGTGGTAGTCGTCTCTGGCCGTCCGAGTGAGGACATGTGGGTTTTCCCGGTCTCGTCGTTCAGTTCCGCATGTGTGAGTGGTCAGTCGGTGGTAGGGGAGGAGAAGAAGCGGAAGCCGTGATATGGGATTGCTTGGATTGCCTGGGGAGGGGGGGGGGGGGGGGGCGGGTTGCTCGTTCTCGCTGAACAACCTTAGCGGGACCCTCTGCCTGCGTTTCTTTTTCGTTTCTTTTTCTTTTTGTTCGTTTTTCTTTCCTTTGTTTTTTTCTTCTCTTTACCCCGGTGGGACGGACGAGGAGGATGGAGGAATAATAAAAGAGAGAGGCGGGCGGACAGCGAATTCGGATTCGCCTCTCATGCATATGTGCGTAAGGGAGCAGTAGTACTCTAGATGTGAAGAGTATGGTATGTACATTAGGTGGAGGTAGCACCCGTCCCCTTGACGCAGACGGGAAGGAAGCAGAAGCAGAAGCAGAAGCAGAAGTAGCACTCGCTCGCTCACGGTGGAATAGTAGGTATTACATATTGGTCTGCATGTTTTGGGGCGCTGGACATGGACTCGGCTGGGCATGGGCATGAGCACTGTCGGTGCACTGGTACATAGGAAAGTATCGCGGCCCCACAGCTTGGGCAATGGGGATCCTGCACGCGGTGGGGTGGTGGTGGTGGTAGTGGAGCACGAGCTTCTCCGCATTATCTCTGCCTCAGAAGGATGGCAGAGTACGAAAGTCCATGTCCCCCCGCCCATGTTCCCCTCCCGCCTCACCTCACTCCTCCGCCTCACGTCGCCCTCTCTTCGCTGGCACAGAGATCACTGCTCGATGTGGCCGAACAATCAACGGACTTCGCCATCGTCCTGCAATCTCCATGAACCCGCGTGTCCCGACTCCTCCCAAATCCAAATACACATCAGATCCTCCATGTGTGTCTGTAAACCCATTCAACCGCCGGAGATCCGTATCGTGGTTTTTGTTTTATTTTCTCTTTATTTTCTTTTATTTCCTCTCTTTTCTTCTTTTGTCTTTTTTTGTCCTTTTGTCTTTCTTTGTCCTTTCCTCTCTTTTCTTTTGTCTTTTTTTGTCCTTTTGTCTTTTGTTGTCCTTTCCTCTCTTTTCTTCTTTTGTCTTTTTTTGTCCTTTTGTCTTTTTTTGTTCTTTCCTCTCTTTTCTTCTTTTGTCTTTTTTTTTCCTTTTGTCTTTTTTTGTTCTTTCCTCTCTTTTCTTCTTTTGTCTTTTTTTTTCCTTTTCTTTCCGTTCCCTCTAAAATCTGACTTGCCTTGACTTGCCTTGAACTTGAACTTACCTTGACTTCTCGCTTGCTCAAAAGCCTGCGGATCATCGTTCCGGACGAGGTTGACATCGACTAAATCTTAGTTCCACGATGCTGGGATCCTGGCACCCCATCACCCTGAAATGCGGTACGGGGGTACGAACTTAGGGTGGGCCTGTGAGGTGACCAGCCACAGCGTCGGGGAGTGCGAGCGACGGCCGAGGAGGAGGAGGAAGAGGGCGAGTCGACTTCTCACTGGAGTAAACGTCTCCGAAGACGGAGTTGTAGCTTGCTCGCACAGAAAACAAAACATCCAACTCCCATGCGCACCACGTACCCTACTCGTCAAGAAATCGCCACCTCTACTGCACCACAGCGGGATCTTCTGTAGGCCTGTAAGCTGTAACGTACGCCACACTGCGTAACCACTCGTCTCTACTCGTCTCTCAGAGCACTCCCCCTCCAGAGTCCATCCACCTCCATCCTGATCCACCCTAGCCCCCAGCCAGTGAAACACCGCGATCCCGCTCTGGCCTACCGCAGATTCTGGTCGAACGAACGAGCGAGCGCCACACTCGTCGATCCGGATTCCTCTCTCTCTTTCTCGGCAAAAACAAGAAAAGCTGACAAATCCCTCTGGAGTCTGCCAGAGCTTGCCTTACGCCTACGCCACACCTCCGAGTCCCCCCGCCCTCGTCGGAAAAGAAAAAAACAGCTCCACATCCACCACACCACACCATCGACTACGGCATCACTACGGCCGCGGATGCTGTTTCTCGATTTCGCACGCCGGGGAAGCCGGGGAAGGGAAGCAAGATCGGAGTCGGCCGGGCTGGTTAGGCCCTAGTTGCTAGTTGCTAGTTGCTAGTTGCTAGTTAACTCGCGGTGCGCCTTGAGCTTGAGGAGGTTTTGCTTTTCTTCTCGCAGTTGACTTCGTTTTTGACTTCGGTGCTAGACAGTTAGCCTCCAGAGTCCAGCGCACCAACGAAGGTGGATGTAGATCCTGTTTTGTTTGTTTGTTTGTTTGTTTTATTTCTGAGGCTTGCGTGTGGCGACCGACGGTGCATGTGTGTGGCAGGTGCGACAACTGCGACCGGGTGCCAGGTGGGAGTGCTGACCAGGCCAGGTGGGAGCACAGGTTACAGGTTACAGGTTACAGGTTACAGGTTACAGGTTACAGGTTACAGGCTATGTACAGCATCGCACCGTGCACGTCTGGGATGGGATCATGGGAAGGGGTGGTACATATGTCTGGGAAGGGTGGTATGCGATGGGGATGGGATTTCCGAATTCCCCATGTCCAGTCTCGGCGTGGGCAGTGGGCACCGACGGATCAATATTTGCGGATGCGGGCCCAGTCCAGCCCGCCCGGCGCCCGCATGCACGCGAGCTTCGGAGGGCTGCCTGCCTGGTTACTTGGTTACGAGTCTCGGGCTACGGTAGTCATCTCGAATGTCCATCCCACTGGCTCCGTGTTCGAACTTCGAAAGCCTTATTCTCTGTACAGCGGAAGTCTGAGGATTCGACTCGAGAGCTGCATAGGCAGAGCGGAAATAGATTCACAGTGCCAACGAATGATGCGAATCGGGTTTGCCCCTTCGCGGTGAGTGACTCGTGAGGAGTTCAGTGCCTATCACTGACCACTTCCAACCAGACTAGGGAACTGCCAGAGTAACTAACAGTGCCCACGGCGAACGACTCTACGCAAGGAGTGAGTACGAATGTACAAGAGTATGTAGATCGATACGTGCCAACGAAAAGAATCGAAATATCGCGATTCGCCCCCTTCGCGGTGAGCGCGGAATTCGACATTTACATACCAGTAGCTACTAGTTTGTGCCCACTCACCCCATCGCGAAAGAGTTCGAGAATACGAGTCGATAGTTAGCGGTATGTACTGAGTATAGGGTATGCATACGGTAGAGTAGAGTATGTTCGTGCCAGCGAAGTTTGCCCCTTCGCGGTGAGGAATTCGATGTCCGGTGTCCAGTGTCAACTGTCGTGTGCCGAGTGTCTAGCTTTAACCGCGTTGCAACGGGGCGGGGCGCGGCGGGGCGGGGAGAGGGGAGGGGGAGACGATTGGCCACTGTGGATGGACACTGAAGGTATGTAGATCCTACTCTCCAAAGCAATTGGCAGTTGGCAGGCAGCATTCCGCACCGCACCCCGCACCCCGTCCACTCTTCACTGTCCACTGTCCAGTGCCCACTCTCCACTCTCCAGTGACAGCTCGCCCTCGAGTCTTAACTCTCGATTCTCGACTCAAACTTGACGATGCCAGGTACCCGCATCGTGTCGTGTCGCACCTGCACTCGCCGGCGCCGCAACTTTAGTTGCAACTTGCAACCCCTCACTTCTCGACGTCCGATTCGCTCGTGAGCTCTTTGTACTATTATTCGCGCGCTGCCACCAGCGCCACCAGCGCGCCGCCGATCCTCCCACCAGCGGCACGCCACCAGCATCACGCCACAACGGCGCTGTCGCAGCGATACTTTAGCTGCGACAGTGTGGCTGCCAAGTAACGAAGTACCTGGTGTGGGTACACTCGCGACTCGTTTACATGGCAGACGGGTTATGTAGAGCAAGTGGTGGACACGCATCTCAGTGCGGGTCGGATGTACTCGTCGAGACTTGAGAACAGGGTGCTCGTCGAGAGATGTAACGGTGTAACGGGCATGTGAGTGTGGCTGAGGCTTGCATACGGTACTCTACTGATGTCTCTATCCTAGAGCAGGTAGAGAAGGTACATAGCGCCCCCCGCCGGCGAGAAACAAAAACGGCGAAGTCATCTGTAGCAGGTTGAAATTCCCCGGAAATCGGATGGCGTTGGCGCCTACACAGAGAACTCTAACATCGTAAACGGAATAAACGGAATCGTAAACGGAATACCTAAACGGAATACCCACGACCTAGGTAATTCGTCGGAGCTCGACGACACTACCACCAAGGTATATGGAACTTGAAGTGACTAGAGCACAGAACTATCGTTCCGATACTTCCCCGAACCCGATGTTCGAACCCGAGGGCTCTACTTACAAACGGCACTTACCTACCTCCCCGCAGCGCTGTGGAAAATCGAGATATGTAGAGATAGAGGTAGAAGTAGAGATGGAGATGGAGATGGAGTACGCCTCACGGTCCACGGCCCACGGCTCTGGCCCACAGTCCTGGTTAACGACTCGACGACTCGACGGCCGAGACATCCTACATACCACCTACGCACGCACGGAGCATCGCGGCATCGCCTCACGAGTCTCACCCAGCGGCCCGCACCGAAGAGTGAAACCCGGGCTGGCAGGGCGGTCCGACGAGACATCTGCGCACGGAGACTCGAGAGTGGCTCCTGTCCACGAGACCCCCGCTCCCCTTGAGGCTTGCACTCGCTCCCCCCGCGCTACGCGCTGGACAGGTTGGATGGATGAAAGGATGGGAGGATGGATGAGAGGATGGATGCCGAGCCCGTCATCCGGTGCTCTACCGTATTCTGCTTGGGTACTGGTGGTGCTAGCTACTAGCCGGCCAGTAGGAGGAGCAGCCGGCCCGAAGTTCGAACCAGTGCTCTCTCTCTCTCCGGCTAGTTGGAGGAATCATCCAGTCAAATACCCGAGACTCGAGTCGTAGGCAAAACCGGTATTGATAGTGTGTTAACTATTCCAAGTGGTCAGTCGCAACGGGAGATGCATCAAATTTCGAAATCCCCCTTCCCCTCGAAATCCCTACAAAAACAATCATAACAATAGCAGTCACTCTGTACGTACCGCCGCGCTAAGATTGAAGGCCTACTGCAGGCAGCAGAAGCTCGGACGTTGCGACTCCCGGCAAAAGAAGAAGAAGCCGCAGAAGAGGAAATCCGATGGATGGCTGAAATTTGAATCGAAGCGAGGGGAAAGGGAAGCCTCCAAGAGGGAAGGAGGATGGAGAGCATATGTAGCCGCAGGTGTCAGCAACTACTAGCATAGTAGCAAAGCACTAGTACAATGTATCTGCGGTATCTGCGGTAGACTCTATGTACGTAGAGGAGTGGGCGGGATCCGGCGGACGGGTCGGAATACACATGAATGTATTTGGATGCGGGAAAGTGCTCGGAAAGTCCTCAGAGAGAAGAGGAGAGAAGAGGAGGAGAGAGGAACGATAGCGACGCCCCGGGTCGTGTATCCGTACTGTGTATGTAGGAAGGAAGGAATCCGTGTAACTACACACAAATACACATACATGCCTGCATGTGTACCGCGATGCAATGCATGAGCCGGGACCGCTGTGCTCTGCCGTATGTGAGCCTGCCTGCATCGAGGGCGGCTGCATCGTGGCCGGCTGCATCAAGACGGCTGCGTCGAGGGCCGGCTGGCTGCTTCTGTAGAATCTAGATGGTTCACAAACGAGCACTGCACGAGCATGGGCATGAGCATGAACACAAGCACCAGTTGGACCGACCGGCGACCACGTCCGTGACGCCATCCCCCCATCCTTCTACCCTCGTGAGTCCCATTCACAGCTAAGTTCCAAGCCGTGCCCGCTCCCCGCCCCACAGCTGTCGGCATCAGGCGTCTCGTCCACACCCTCGTCACTCGTGTGGATACGGTAACAGTAACAACAATAGCAACAGCAACAGCCACTTCTGCTTCCCTTTGCCTCTGCCATTGCCATTGACATTGCCACTGCCTCTGCCTTTCCACAACACCCGCACAACATCCCCTCCCTCCCCCTGACGGCGGCGTGTTGCCACCCGCATCTCGGCCAAGCACAGCGCACTTCCTGCCCGCACGCTCGCGCTGCAGTGCGGAGTGCCCATCTGCCGTACCTATTCTATATACCGCAGGAAGCGAACCATCGTTCCTCTTCTTGTGTACTATCGTGTCTCAGGTATGATTCTAGCACCCGAGACTGAGACCGCGAGCACCAAGCACCATGCAAAGTACCAAGCTCGTCCGTGCACCGCCCGCACCCGCCCGTAAAGAACTCTCCGCTCCCGCTCCCGCCGCCCCCACCCATCACGCACCCACCGCGCGCCCACTGCCACCGCCGCTCGTGATCGCCGCTAACTATCGTACGGAGATATATCGTGTCGCGCTCTTGAACATTTTTTATTTTTTTTTGTTCGATCGCACTCACATTTCACTCTTGAATTTTCTCTCTTTTTCCAAGTTCCATATGAACCGAGTGATATCCCATGACCGCACATCCTCCGCCAGAGCATCGCACATCCACATGTCCATCCACAAGCCCGTTGCGCTCCCTTCACCCGCGCCGAGCCCTCGGCTACTCTAGTTTCCCATCGAGTACCGAGCCGCAGCCTTCACGAGTCACGACCTCCCCATTTCCAACAACTTCAAACTTCATAACTCACCCATCACATCACCTCCAAATTCACCTTCATCCAAAGGCCACAACCAACCAACCAATCGCACAGAGCTCTCTCTCAGGGCAACCATTTCGATTAAGCACCCGTACCGGTAGCGGCGGCAGCGGCGGCGCACGGAGAAGAAGACGAGAAAAAAAATGAAATAAAAAAATAAAAACCCGGTAAAACTATACACCAGCAGACTACGACTGGGCATTTTCCTCCTCCTAACTGTCTCCCCGCGCCCTTCACCCCCACTCTATGGTATTGCACTTGCTCCCGCACATCGACACGTTCAACTAGTTCATCTCACATTTCTCCCCCTCCCCCCCTCGCACTCCCGCAGTGTCAAGAATTACAACAACAGCTCCAATGGGTTCTCGACAATCTTTTTGAGAGCGCCCATGAACTCGGCGCCGACGGCACCATCGACAGCCCTGATGGTTATTGTCAGCACGCATTCATTCGTTTCAGGTCGGGGAAGGGGGGACGAACCGGTGATCGAAAGATCCGGAGAAGACAATCTGGCTGTCCCACTCGATGCCTCCATCCTTACCCTCGACAGCGACCTTCTTGACAGCGCCGACAGCAAGGATACCAGCCTGGGGCGGGTTGATGATGGCAGTGAAGCGCTCGACGGCCGGGTTCATGCCCATGTTCGAGATGGTGAAGGTTCCACCCTGGTATTGTTCTGGCTTGAGCTTACCGTCGCGCGCGAGGGCGGCCAGGGACTTGACGTCCTTGGAGATTGCGACGAGACCCTTGGCTTGCGCGTTGGTCACGATGGGCGTCATCAGGCCGACGGGGGTCGCGACCGCGACGGAAATGTCCGCGGTCGAGAACTGCTTGATGATGCCTTCGCTCTCGCGGTAGGACGAGTTGACCTGCGGGACCTTGAGGAGCGCGGCGGCGACGGCCTTGATGATGAAGTCGTTCACTGACAGCTTGTACTCACCGTTGGCGGAGGCGTTGAGGGCCTGGCGGAGCTTGAGTAGCTTGCTGACCGACAGCGACGACTGGACGTAGTAGTGGGGGTTGGTGTTCTTGGACTCGGTGAGGCGCTGGGAGATCACCTTGCGCATGGCCGTGAGGGGGATGTCGGTGCTGGTGGGGGCAGCGGCGGCAGCGCCGGCGCTGGATGCACCGGAAGGCTTGTAGTTCTTGACATCGGCCTCGGTGATACGTCCACCCTCACCGGTACCCTTCACGCTCTTGAGCGGGATACCCTTCTCGAGAGCGAGTGCCTTGGCGAGAGGAGAGGCGCGAATGCGGCCGCCATCCAACTCGAGAACAGTCTGGAGCTTACCCTCGAATTCCTTGGGCTGCTCGGCAGTCTCAGCGACGGGGGCGGGGGCGGCCTTCTCCTCGGACTTCTCGTCGGACTTCTCCTCCTTCGGGGCCGGCTTAGACTCGCCACCAGCGTCGGCCAGGGTGAAGTCGGCGAACGCGGCAATGTCACCGCCCTCCTCAATAACGATGGCAATCGGCTGCGCACACAGTCAGCGACCTACTACCGCTGATCGGAGGACCAAGACGGGCATACGTTTCCGACAGCAACATCCTTCTCGCCAGACTGCTTCAAGATCTTGGCTAGGACACCATCCTCCTGGAACTCAAAGTCCATCTGTGCCTTGTCTGTCTCGATCTCGACCAACACATCACCGGGGGCGATGGCATCTCCAGGCTTCTTCTGCCACGTGCCGACGTTACCGGCGGTCATGGTGGGAGAGAGAGCAGGCATGGCCACGATCGTGTGGGGAGGGAACGCTATCGCCACGAATCCATCGTCAGCCGGTCGGTTTCATGCATTGAACACATCGGGTACGTGTAGTAGTAGATAGCAGGCGGAAATATACATTTCGAGGCATAGTGCCTGGAGAGCAGAGTAGCAAGGCATTGCGGCGTGTTTGTTCTGTGTGTGCGGATAAATCATCGTCAGCCGCCGTTGAACTCCGTGACGAAGAAAATTATATGCGATGTGGCGAGAAGCCATTCCCCCCCGCCGCGAAACCATTCCCCGCGCGAAACGCCCTCATTAACTCGGCGACGGCATTATCATCAAGGAGAGGCGGAATCGCCGCCGGGGAAGTCCAATGACTAAGGAATATCAAACTTACACTCGCAGCAGACCGGCACTCTTGACACCTCCAAAAGCACGCGAAGAAGCTCTCACTAGTGTAGCCGACATGATTCTCTTTCGGGGCTATTGTTGAATTGACACCGCACGCAGGAGGAGGATGGAGGGGATGAGGAGGAAGACTGGGACGTCTTTGGCGGAGGAGAAGGAGTCGTTGGTGGGGGTTCTGGGTTGGAGAGGGATGTCGTCGGAGAGAAGAGGTGTGAGGTATTGCGGTTGTCTCGGAGATCCTAGATCAAGGGTTAGCAGTGTTGGTGGTGGAGTTGAGAAATTTCGTTGGGAAGTCCCCAAGCCACCACCCATGAGCGCAAAAAAATGTGTCGAACGAACGAGAGAGCATCAAAGGCTGGTACGATGTATCAATGAGGTCGATTCGAAGTCTCCTCTGTACGTATATCGATGCTCTGATACATTCGTTGTTGCCCATACCAGGAAAACCGCTGTGCGGAGATCTCCGCTATCGCGGGCGTGTCTGTGCACCCCCACCAACACCCTCCACCGCTAGTTAATCAGAGCTTCTCACTCGGTATTCTGATTCCACGTCCATGATTCCGCAGTCTAAGTGCGCAGGCGGGCTACGTGACCGTCTTCGTTGGCGGTAACGGGGATGCCAGGCCGTACCGGACGCGCGAACCCCAGGAAAGGCGGAAGTCAGGGGAGAGAGGCGAGGGGGCAGCAGGAGGAGCGGGCACGAAGGCCCATGCCGGTCTTTACTGTCAATCTACGCTTTGCTTGTGTCGGCCCGAGGTGGATGGGTGGGAAAGTGGGGCGCCGCATCGAACTGGTTGGTACCGGGGCTTTCACCTCGACTGGCCAGGGCGGACAGGAAAAGGAGTGCGTTGGTTCGCCATAGTCTAGACAGGTCGCATGTGACAATAAATCGATGTTCTCTCTCTCTGAGCACACAGTTGGGTATATAAGTCAAGATCTGGATGGTGGCCGTCATGACTGCAGCCACACTGAAGTGGAAGCACTGTTGAGCAAAGCTTACTGGTTATTTTACTGTTTCCAGGCCCTCAATATCGAGTCGATATCAACACAGTTTGTGCTGCGTCCGGCAGACTATGGTCTGACTCTCCATTGTAGCTCGACTGACCACGAAAATAGTCTACCGCCGAAGCTTGTCCGTGCTGGAAGCGACTCGAATCTCGCTCTACCTGAGCACGAATCATGATACCACTCCACTCACCCGTAGCTTCAAACCTACGTCCCCTTCGACCCGTCATGAAATCCCAATCCTCCCCGAGGTTAAGCATAACACACGTACCTGCCATATATAACTCCCCCCCCTTCCCCTCGTCCTCCACCTGCATCCACACAGACCAACTGCACTACCTACGACTACCTACGACTACCTACTGCTCCGATAACAATCTCGTCAAAAACACACCTACAAAATGCAAGTCTCCACGCTGATCCTCTCCATCCTGATCGCGGCCCTCCTTGCCGCCCAGGTCCTCGCCGCACCGGTACCGAAGAACGTCTTCCGCCCCGAAAACTACGGCATGGGCTATCGCGGCCGCAAGACGTCTGGCCCACGCAATTACCAGCCATTCCCGGGCGCTTTTGGACGTATCCTTGGTCCCGATGACGCTGAGCCCAGAGTCGACCGCGTCGACAAGGTCGATTGCGTCGATAAGGTCGATAGTGTTTGTGCTTAGGGGAAGGGGAATAGGTGGGAATGGGTGATGGAAAGGGAAGGGGTGGTGAAATGTGGAAATGATTGCATGATTTACGTGAACTGAGGAGGAAGGGTTAATTGGTGGCGTAATGGAAAGGCGGTGGAGTAATAGCGAATAGAACAGTCTAGAGACTATTCGTGGAAATCTTGAGTTACGGATGATCTGAATGCCGTATCTACTCGTTCATAAGACATAACCGCTCAACATTCTGAATGAGCTTGCCGAGTGGCAATGGAAGTCCATTAACCGCTTTCGTCGCCATGTGATCACGATCTCTTGTACAAAGCACCATACAGCCCTCTGTCGGCGCGCTTGTGCCACCCTTTTCCACTCGGCAAGCTCATTCAGAATGCTTAGTGGTTGTATCTTATGAACGAGTAAATACGGTGTTATTGAGCTGCATGTCACATCGACGAACCGTGATCCTGTAGAATGTACATGAGTTCGTGTGGTCAAAGGATTGGGAGATGGAACGGTGACGAACGGTATGGAAATCCTCAACCTTACTGATGTTGGGCTTCGGGTTGGGAAGAGTAGATGGAGATAAACTCTAGGTAGATGTGAACGAGTCCATGTGAGGTGAGAGAGGATATCCAAGAGCCTGTCAGCCATCCTTCGTTCTGTCCACCTGTCCCTCTAATGCCACCGCTCGGGTAGTGACAAATTTTTCATGGTCAGAAAGTTTGCCCTCAACGGCCTTGGGTCCTCTGCATGAATTGACAGCCTCCAGGAGTATGGGCTGGGATTTCAGCTGAGAGAATATTCTCAGACTGCACCGCCGAGGCTTCGGAGTCTATTCGAAGTTAAAGTGAGATTATGCACTGCCTGGCTGAAAGAGAATGAGTACTCATGCCGCCAGGGCTAGGCGAGATGACTATCGGTCCATGTCCGACTGTCGACGCAGCAGCCCGAGTAGAATAGTCAACCATCCGTCCTCCCGCCAGTCCAATTAAGGGCCCGGGGGGCAGGTGAACTGGGTCAACTCTTCGCTCTCTCGTTGTCGAAATCCATGGAAGTTGGTAGACGATCCTTTATGTGATAATGGGAGCTAGCAGCACCCATCTTGGAAGCTTCACTTGCGTCGCCCTCCGAATCGCAGCGCAACGACTGAGACCCCTCCCGCTAGCGTAGCTATCACGTGACCAGAGGAGCAAGTTCCCCAACATCGCGTAGAAGAAGAAACAAGTGCGACGGATACAGCCGGGTTGACTCGGTCTGTATCGCTGTTTCTCTTGTCACAATATTCTATGCCTGAATTATCGTACATAACTTCTTTCCATGTATTTCGATCTCAATGCATCGTTCTCTGGAGGGCCGTGAGACACCTTCTCCAGGTTTGCGCGATTGCGGGGAGCATGCGGCCGTAGCTAGGGACTGCGAAAACAGATAAGCGTTGCTGGTCGGGGCAAATATTTTAGGGTTTGTTTTCGACTTTTGCGTCATGTGATGGATTACAGTTTATCGTCGGTCGGGGTCCGGGAGGCTCATCAGATGCCACCGTGGTTGCTTGTGTGGCGATGATGATGCTAGCGATGAGAATGATGCCGGGAAGTTGGGGAGACGGCATCGCCGTTTTGGGTGCGAGGACTGCTGCAAACGGGAATTATCCGTGCCAAGCCGTGAAAAAAATAGTGCTGGTTTTTGAGTGACACGCATTATTCTTTCCCCTACCCCCTCCCTCTGCCTCTTCTGACCGATCATCACCACCACCACCGAATCGTCTCAGCCTCACCCGCCCGCACACTGCACCACACACACAAAAAAGCTTCTGCTTCGCACGTAACGAAACGAGCCCGCACGCTACAAACAGACAGACCCGTACTTACACTTACCTGTTCTCTATCTCAACTCTACCAACTTCGCTCCTCGCTGTCTCCGCCTGCGATCGACCGAAAACAAAACCAACTTACAACCACAATGTCGTCCTCTCATTTTGTCACCTCCTTCTCCTCCGCCGCTGCCGGAAAGGATACTGGGAACAGTAATCACCATGCAGCGAATTCGTCCGGTGGAAGTGGAAATAGTGGTGGAGGTGGTGGAGGTGGGGTTGCTGGCTCTGGGTCCGGGGATTGGTGAGTTTGGCTTTGCACCTGCACCCTTGCCCGCGATGGATTTGGTTTTTTTTTATTTGTGCGATGGGAGTGGGGAAGGTATGCCGATGGCGCCGGGATGAGGTTGTCGTGGACTGTGGATTATCCCCACCGTGTTGATCCTCTCATCCACCCCCGCTCCCCTCCCTTGCTCCACGATGTGTGCCATCTGTGCGTGGAATGAGGAATGAGGCTCGTGTTTTGGCGGTTGCAGACGTTAATTGAGGTCGTTTGATGGTGACGGCAGTGGCGGCGGGTGGCACTTTTGCTCAACTCGCACACAATTCTGAGATCTACGTATGTTGGGAATTGTGCTGATAAACGTATCTTTGGCTGCAGGTCTCGCCGTGTCAATGGAGCCGTTAGCAACTCTACTACTCGTCGCCCCTCTCTCTCGACCACTCTCACTCACAACAATAACGCCGCTTCGACTGTCCCTTTAACGTCGGCGGCTTCCAACGTCTATCACCCTCCACACCATTACAACCGCCAGGCGGTGGCGGCACCCGGTACATACGGCAAAGACGAGCTCCTCAGCCTATTTAGGGTGCAGGAGAGCGGCGGGTCTATGGGTAGTAAGTTGGCGGACTTGGTGGATACCGATTTCGGTGGCTCGGCAACTGCCTCTGGTGGGTGGGGTAGGAGCGGGGATGAAGCCACTAATGGTGTCGATATGTGCTGGGAGAAGGATGGCGGTTTGAAACCGGTTTCTCTCGAGGACATGACGGAGGAAGAACGAGAGGTTGGACACTCCCACACACAGCCTCGTTTTCGTTGTTTCTTTTCCTTGCCTGTAGACGACACGGTTTGCTAATCTCGACTCTTTAGTTCTTTGCCGCCAATGTCAACTCCGCTCTCAAAGTACCGAACAACAATAACAACATCAACCCCAACACTACTCAAGGCATCCCCAATAATCACGGCACTCCACCGCCGAACCGCAATAAGGCACCGGGTGTTGGAGTAACTCCTGGCAGCAGTCGTCCCACGACTCGTCGCCGCGACACTTCGGACGCAGGCCTGAGTGGTAATCCTTTCACGAACGCGACTCCGCCGCAGATTGCCAGACGTCGCACCGACTTGCGCGGTGAAGGCGATGAGGTCGGTAGTCCCGTCCGAGATCGCACCTTCTTCGGTCGTTGGGGCACGAATCCCGGTCCCGGTGAAGACGAGATGGAGAAAAAAGACGACGGATCCGTCGGCGGTAGTGTGGGTCGGAACACTGGGCTGTTTAGACGGGGAAGTGGGGCCGCATGGGGCAGTACGGGCTCTGGCAGTGCTCTCAACTCTCCCATGGGTACTTTCGGCGGCGCTTTTGGTGGTGGCCCGATGGGTGGCTTTGCCCTCCAATCTGGTGACAAGCCCAAGGGTGCTCAGAAAGGTGCTCCCGGTGGCTCTGCCCATCCGAAGGTTGAAGATGTGGACGAACGTGCCGAAGAGGATGATCATCGTTCCCAGCAACCTCATTCCGAAGGTACCGATGATGGAGACCGTGAGAGACCCATGACCTCCGACACGGATCCGTTTGGACACGGTGGCGCCTCTCGTGACGAACAACAACAGCAGCAGCACTCTCACGACGACCGAAATTCGCCACTCCCGACTCCTGGGCTTCAGGACCAACAACGGATGAAGGCCTCCCCATTCGGTCCAGGTGCAGGCATCAGCATATCGACGTCGGGCCAGCCAAGAATCGGCAGTGCAATCGGCACACCGACCAAACAGCGCAGTGATTTGGGGGCCTTCGGTGCCTTCGGTGGATCTCGCGAGGGCCTTGGTGGCATGGGCACTCTGGGCATGTCTGGGCTCCACCACCAGTTGCAGAATCTGACTTTCAATCAGCAAGGCCAGGTTCCGCTCAGGCGCTCCAGGGAGGGCAGCATCGGCAACGCCTTAGCTGGCGACAACGAGCCGCTGAGCCCTGCGGAGACGAACCCGTTCCAGAGCCCGCCACCTGAGAAGGTGGACGATGACGGGATGTTGCACGACAACAGCGATGGTGGGGGGTTGGGGAGTGTGATTGCGGGGTTGAGGAAGGGGGAGAGTCATGTGGGTGCACCGGGAAGCGATAGGAGTGGTAGAAGCTCTACGGCAGGACTTGGCAGCGTTGGTGGTGGAGGTTTGGGTGGTTTTGGTGGATTGTCTGGTCCTAGCCTCTGGGGAGGTGGACAGGCATCCACTCCTGGAATCGGTTCATCTGGAACTCCAAATTCTTTCTTTGGTGGGGGATTGGGTGACTTGTCGAGCCCCGGTGGTCTCGCTGGCGGAGGCCTGTTGTCCGGTGGCATCGGCGGGTTGGGCGGATCGAGCCATTTCGGATCCGCGAGTAGATCAAGCAGATTGGGCCAGCTGTTTCCCGAGAATCAGCACCAGGATGATGGTCAAGGTGGATACGATCAAGATACATTTGGTGGCGACTCGCGTTTCGTCGTATTCGGTAGCCGCAACAGGGGATTTGGAAGCATTAACGACAGTCCTATGAGGGAGCGTGGAGATGTTGCCGACTTGTTCGGATTCCCGTCCGCACGCAGTCTTTCTAACCTTGCCGGTACCGCTGCCAGTCAGGAGAATCCCATGTTTGCTCGCGACCGCGATGACTCGGTGTCTGCACTCCATCAAGCTCACCAGCAGCAGGATTCGCCGCTTGGTGCTGGTGTCCAGACTCCCGGCGGACAGCCACTCCGTCCCCCTCCAGGAACCCTGCCGCCGCAGCCTCAACACGTCATGATCATGCCGGATAAGATCCAGTGGGTTTACCGTGATCCCTCCGGTGTCATTCAGGGTCCCTTCAGTGGTCTTGAGATGCACGAGTGGTACCGCGCTGGATTCTTTACCCCCGATCTTGCGGTCAAGAGACAAGAAGATGGTGACTTCGAGCAACTGGGCACTCTTGTCCGGAAGATTGGCAACACTCGGGAGCCGTTTTTGGTTCCTCTGCCAGGCAATACTTCTGCTGGTATGTCCACTAATGCTGCTAACTGGTCTGGATCGTGGCTCAACGAGATGCCAGGTGCCCAACAACAGGCCCAGCAACAAGCGCAACAGGTGCAACAGCAACAGCAAGCCGTTCAGACGCCCGGAGGAGTTCAGCCGCCTTTCGCTGGAAGCTTCCCTACCTTCGGCACCACCTTGACCGCCGAACAGCAGAATGCGCTTGAAAGACGCAAACAGGAGGAGCAATATCTCATGGCTAAGCAGCGTGAATTCCTTCTCCAGCAACAGATGATGGCCAAACAGGCTGCTGTTGCTCAGCAGTTGCATCATCAAAGCTCTACTCAGAGTCTCCACAGTCAGCCTAGCTTCGGGAGTCTGCACAGCCCCAGTGGTTTTGCTCCTACTGCAGCTCCTGCCGTGTCAGCTGCTACCATCATCGGTGGACAGAACAGTTTTGAGCCTGGTGCGCTTCTGAGACAAGCTGGTGCTGCCGCGGGTGGTGTCGGTGGTCATGGTGTTGATGCTCAACTTGCCTTCGCGCAACAGTTTGTGCAGCCTCATCCGCCTCAGCAGGATCAACAGTCCCTGTTGATGCAGCAGCAGCAACAGCAACAGCAGAAGTTTGCCGAGCAGCAGCGTCAGCAGCTCCAGAAGAGCTACCAGAACCAGCAGTCTCAGCATGCCGAGAAGCTTCAGCAGGCACAGGAACAGGCTCAGCAGGTTGCTGCCCAGATTCAACAGTCGCACATGGAGCCTCAAGAGGAGCAGTCAGCCGCTCACGAGCAGCACTCTTCTCCCTCCGTCCATCAAGAGACTTTCTCCGAGGCCGAGGCTGCTCCTGTTCCTAAGGCGAAGACTCCGGTTCCTGAGCAACTCGCTGTCAAGAGCCAGACCCCCAAGGTGGCTTCGCAGAAGACCTCGCCTGTTTCCAAGCCAGCTCACCTCGCTTGGGGTGGACAGCATGCGCACCAGCCCACTCCTCTTGTCCAGCCATTCCCGCCGCCACCTGGCCGGGAACCGTCTCCCACTTCGACGATGGCTCGCAGCCCGTCTGTCGAGACGCCGAGTGCTCCTTCAATCGCGCCCTGGGCTAAAGAGATAGAAACTCCTCTGAAGGGTCCGTCGCTTAAAGAGATCCAGGAGCTCGAGGCTAAGCAGGCCGCCGTTCGTGAAGCCGCCGAGGCCGAGGCTCGCCGCCACGCCCTCTCTCAGCAGGTTTTCAGCCAGCCGCCTCCCCCTGCTCCCGGTCTTCCCAGCACCGCTACTTGGGCTACCTCCCCGTCGACTACCCCCGCCAGCGGCGGCATGAGTGCTTGGAACAAGCCACTCGCCAAGGCCGCCCCGGTCAGCTCTGGACGCAAGACGCTCCAGCAGATCCAAAAGGAGGAGGAGGCTCGCAAGGTCAAGGCTGCTGCTGCCGCCGCTTCTCAGGCTGCCTTGACTTCTACCGTTGTCGCGGCTGCCACTGGCAAACGCTATGCCGACCTTGCGTCCAAGGCTGCTGTCGCACCCGCCCAGAACCCACCCATTAACGCTGCGTGGACTACTGTTGGCCCCGGCGGGAAGTCGAAGAACCTTGGCGGAATTCTCACCCCAACTACCCCAGCTACCACTGTCCAGCCGATGAAGTTGAGTACTTCTTCCTTGGGATTTGCGCCACCAGCTGCTGCCAAGAAGCCAACTCCGCCCGCTGCCCCCAGCAAGCCTGTGGCTACTTCTGCTCAGGAGGAGTTCATGAAGTGGTGCCGTGCCAGCATCAAGGGGCTGGGCGCTGGTGTTTCTCGTAAGTTTTCCTGTTCCCACTGTGTGAGCACTGCTGATGATAAACCAGCCGACCAAGTCATCGAAATGGTGGTCAACTTTCCCAGCGACGCCGAGATCATCGCCGACACCATTTACGCCGTGTCAACGACTATGGACGGCCGCCGCTGGGCCGAGGAGTACATCAAGCGTCGCAACGCGGCTGGCTCCGGCGTCGTCATCGAGGCTGGTGCCGGCGGTAACTCGGCTGGCTCCGGCGGTGGCTGGAACGAGGTAGCCAAGTCTCGTCCTGCTGCACCTGCCGTGCCCGTTGCTGGTACCGTTCCGGAGAGTTCTGCGTCATTCCGTGTTGTTGCGGGGAAGAAGAAGGGACGTCGTTAAAAGCTGGCTCGAATGGGATGATTGGTTAGGTAGTAGTGCGAATGCGAATGATTGGTTAGCGAAGTGATTGTGATTTGTGCGAGTGAGTGTAGACCTGTTTGTTACCTACTTGATACGGGGTGCGATATCTGTCGTTTGTTGCGCGAAGATGAGTGTCATGTAGAGGGGGTGTTGTAGAGAGCTTTCTCGCCGGGCTGTGGCGGATTTATGCATGCAAATCAAGTCATTTACAAACGTTAACACCGTAGATCGCCCACTTTTCGTATTCTACAAGGTCCCTTCTATGGGTTAGAGCATTGACTGGCACTCGTCCTTCAGCCGGGATTCCTCGCCCTTGGGGATTTGTCCCTCTCTCCTGTCGGCAGTCCGGGTAACTGGTGCGATGCAGCGCCCACTTCGAAGATCCTCCGCCCGAGCACAAGATGGTTACATGGCGCTCCGAAAAAGTACACGATATGTAGTGATGGAATATTCCGGGCCATGTGTTTTGTGTTTCATGTTTCATGTTTCATCGTTGATTACACGCAGTCTATCCGGATTCCGGACGTCGACAAAGTGAGACTTGAGAAGCGCTCTTGAGCACGCTTCCAGAATCCAGATACTGGCGGCAGTCCCGATAGGTAACACAGTAACACTTGCCTCTCGAGTCTCCAGCCTCTCCACCCACCCAGCCACGCAACAGTACCGTATTTTTTCTCCGCAACGCTCTACCTACTGACATTACGCGCTCACTCTCGGGGGCACATGTGCACACCGTAGAGTACAGCGCACACCGTAAGTTTCAGCGTAAATTTCAGTGTTCAGCGTTCACCGTTCAGCCACACGGGGCAGCATCGAGTGCGGCGAAGTGATGCGGCGAGGCTGTGGGCCTGTGGCGCGTCCGTAGGTGGTTACCACCCCTGGGATCTGGCTGCGCTGAGAGTAAGGCGCAAGCCGGCTTTGGTATTTTGGGTAGCGGAGGTGGTACTCTGAAAATGTAGGTATGTAGAGAATTTCAGGGCTGGCACTTGGAACTCGGAAGTTAGAAGTTGGGCCGAACTTGAGCCTTGAGTCTTGCACTGTGTGTGTTTGGAACTGATTAATGAAGTTGAATGAATCGGGTTTCCGAAGAGCAATGTTCCAAGTTGTAATACACTGGGTAAGTATTCGGCCAATACCACGACACCACGACACCGATACCGACAGGGTGCATGGATAATCACTCGGAACCATCCGTCACGGGGGCGGCGAGTGCAGCCTGCAGCCTGCGAGAGGAGTGTGCTACGTACCAGCCTGCTGCATCGGGCCACTCGATGAAGTTCGGGTTGGACAGTCCGTGGAACGGAGAGAGTGTATATCACCACAATCTATCTATCTCGTATGTAATCTATGATCAAACAAAACAAAAACAAAAAAAAGGACCAGAGTATTCCGCTTCCACTTCATGTTGGAGATAGTACGGACCACACACCAGCCCTGACAGACTGCGGGGTGTGTGGACCGTGGCGTACCGTGCGGTGGTGTCCTCCGACCAACGACTGACGAGTTACGAATCACAAGATGTCGCTCGGAGCGATGATCACTAATTCTCACCCGATATGTCACACATATCACCTGATGAATCACATCGTATCACGCGATGTATCATCATATATCACCTGGCATAACTATCACGATATATCACGCGGCAAACTCGGGGCGGCAGTCCGACGATTAGTGATCGCTGTGAATGCATAGTACATACTGCCAAGGTGGTTGTACATAGTGATTGCAGTGATTGTGAAAGCGGGAGTTTATCTTCGAGACTCCCGACTCCGGAGTGTGTGTATATACCGCCATAGTGACAGGGTCCGATAGGCAGCGTGCGTGCGTGCGATCGATGAGCATGCAGACTCCCGAGTCCAGCGGCAAGACATTCGGCTGAATGTGGCAAATTCCAGCAATGTGCGACCGTCGACGTGCCGGTGCTACTACCTACATACATACTATAGATAGATACCTAGATAGATAGGTAGGACCTAGGTAGGTAATCAACCGAGACCTATCATCCGGGACGCACCTGGCACCTGCGGGATCGGGCTGGAGAAGCGAGCTGCGAGTGAGGGGCGCCGTCGATGGTCGCGCAGCCACAGCGCCTCGTAACCCAGTGTTTGGCATAGGTAGTCCGGCCCGGACTGCAGTCTGGACTGGACGGACTGCCAAACTCTGGTCTAGTCTGGCCCCTTGGACGGACTGTGTAAAAGTAGTCCGTCCAGTCCATGGATTTCCTCGACTGGACGCGGACTGCAGTCGACTGCAGTCCGTCCTGCCCTCGATTTTTTTGGCCTGCTAAGATACAATCTACCTAGTCGAGTCCGAGATTCAGGACGGACGGACTGGACTATGTCGAACACTGGTCCCGTCGGGACCTCGTCAGGAGCGGTATGGCCTGGCCTGGACTGGGCTAGACTCGACTCGGCGGGGGACTTTTATTGCTGTCACTGCTGTCACTGCTATGAGCGATGAGGAGGACAAGGCCGGGGGTGCGGTAAGTCGAAGCTCTAGGTTTGCGGAACAACGGTATATATATTGATTCTTCCCCGGGAGCACGGAGTCACGACTCACGGACACCGGCAGGTGCCAGGAAGTGTGCCGTGGCACGACAGATCACGACTGACCATGGTCGAGTACCTACGGGGTGTGGAACCAGAAAAACAAAAGTGGTCTTCGCTTTCGTCAGCCTGGAGTTCGCTGATTGGACGTTCCAGTGTTCTACTCTGCAGTCTCCGCTCGGCGCCCCCAGTGCGACCGCCGATTCAATACTCTATCGCCTCTATGTACTACTCTATACCACTACTAAGTATGAATGTGCTGTCTACGCATGCTCGAATCACGATCGCGTGCAACTGCATGCTTATCCCCATACATATCCCCACATCCATTATCCATTATCATCACCCATTATCCCATCTCCATATCGAAGCACGTGTATGGGGAATACACTTCCGCTGTTCGCGTGACCGAACCAGCAATGACAATGCATGTAGCAGAAAAACAATATTATGTAGTAGAAAACAAACCGAGTGACAATTTGCGCCTCGACCTTTCGACCTCAACCTCTCAACCTCTCAACCTCTCAACCTCTCAACCTCTCAACCTCTCAACCTCTCGAGCGTTCGATTTTGTTCACGGGATTACTAAAGTCTAATACAGTACTACTAAAAGACTTTAGACACGACGGGCCAGCCAGGGATGAGACATGGTGTGTTTCTGTTCCGGCCGGTGGTCTCGGCCAGTGGAGATCTTTCCCCGTCCACGAGCCGCCCCCGTCACGGCTGGCTGCACGATAGAGCACGATGGAGCATGATGGAGCACGATGGAGCACGCGAGCTGGAGATCTGGAGTCTGAAGCGGGTAGTGGAGGGGATGAGCGGTGACTCGTGAGGGCAGAGATGCCAGATGGACCGGTGTAGAGGTTCGAATACGATTGTGGGATACCTGGGTAGAGCATTGTGTTAGTAGCGGGATCGGCTTCGAAGGAACGAGAAGTGTGAGAATTAGGAGCATGAGGATCGAGAGCGAAAAGTGAGGACAAAGGGATGGCACATGGGGAGAGAAAGACAGACAGACAGGAGGAAGAGCTCACACAAGAGACACACCGAAAAAGAAGAGAAGAAAAGAAGAAAAGAAAAAGAAAGGAAACAAGAGAGAGTCGAGACTCGAGACTCGAGAGCTTGAGCTCCCCCTTATTCCGTCTGCAGCAGAGCGGGCACTCACCGTCTTACATACCTACCATATTGAGCCGTGTACTAAAGTCAAAAGCATTATGGCAGCCACATATGAGGGCGATTTTGACACTAGAGTTTTTGGGGAAAAATACTAATATTAGTATTTTTTCCCCAAAACTCTTGTCGTAAAATAAGGCTTAGTCAGGGTTTTCAAATTCCAGCTCTGATTGTTAAACATGGCTCCTTCAATCCTGAGTGCAGTGAAAATCAGTCCCGACTCGTAAGCCTTCTGCAACCACTACGGGCCCGCCCACCTTGGAAGTTCATAAGAGTTCTATATGGGCTCTGTAGGGAATCTTGAAAAATAAGGATTAGTAAGGCTTATACGCTCATAAAGATTCCTGAATCCTAAGCAGCACATAATGACTTCTTATGCGACAAGCCTTATCTCATACAATGCTTATTACTTGTTGATGCTCTTCTTCCGTAACCTTATATACCTAAAGTTTAAACTACTCTCCTTCCCCGCTTCCCAGTCCCTCGTCACCATCCCCATACCGACTCCCGCTCGCCATAGTACTGTGTCCCCCTACTGCTCCTCGTTGTGGAAAACTTGCGGGCATCGAGGGAGTAAGCGGAGGAAGTGATGCAGGAGCTAGGTATCAGCGAGACGACGAAGTGATGGAGGACCTATCTGGGACTGGATGGACGATTCCCAGGCCTGGTGATGGGGGAGCTGTTAGCGAGAGGATGAGCTGTCAGCGAGGCGATGAAGTGATGGAGGACTGTGGAAGACATGTCAGCGAGAGGGGAAAGTGATGGGGAGCTGTGGCGAGAGAAGGAGCTATTAGAAAGATGAAGAGGAGTTGTTAGAAAGATGAAGAGGACGGCCGTGGGTTCGCGAGTTTAAAACTGCAAAATAAGCTTCATCATATCTGTCTTCAGAAAACTCTGCGCCTAACAATATGTTGGGACATATCTGGCGGGGTTAATACTGTCGGAGCTGCCTCTCTCTCTCTCTCTCATCATCATCTACAGAGTACCTAGACGGTAAATCTCCCATCCCCGCTCTCTCCTCTCGACCCGCCGCCGCTGATGTCAAGCTGGCTGATTTTCGCATATGCTCTACTAACTCATAAGAGTGATGGAACCCATAGGTCTGGATAAGGCTCATTGAAGGCTTCTATGATGCATGTGAAGAGATTGAGCGTGTGGTGCTCTAAGGATTTTCTGTCTCGAACTGATATATCCCATAATTCTTCACAAAACCTACCACGTTCACAGTTATTATTGTACGACAGTGGTGTGCATTTCAACAATGACGATATAGGACTGACTAAAGCTATGAAGCTTAAAAAGTGAGAAGGCCGATTTATGCGATGGTGGTTTTCGCTGCATAGGCATTATGTAGGAGTTACGACAATTTTAGGGAAATGAGAACATCAGCCTTAGTTTAACACAGCCCTTACTGAGGCCTCACGAGCTCAACGCGTTTATAGCTGGCTTATACGAGGACTGTTTGCCTATTCAAGCCCTACATAAGGCTAACG